TTTTTTTTGGTAGAACAAGTTCTAATTCTAAACCGAATTTTTCAAAAAACTTTTAAAACCTTTTTAATTGTTATGGCACAAGAACATAACAATGTTTTAATAGAAATTTCAAAAAAATTGAAAAAAGAATTCACGAATCTTACGCTAATATTAGAGATAAGTAAAGCGAATTTTTAAAAAACATTTAAAAACATTGAATCAAGTACATTAAGAGGACATCAAATTTTATTGTAAAGCGAACAAAAACAATTGATTTATTACTTTTGGTATAACAAGTTTTAATTCTAAAACGAATTTTTCAAAAAACTTTTAAAAACCTTTTTAATTTTTATGGCACAAGAACATATCAATGTTTTATTAGAAATTTCAAAAAATTGAAAAACTAATTCACGAATCTTATACTAATATTAGAGATAAGTAAAGCGAATTTTTAAAAAACATTTAAAAACATTGAATCAAGTACATCGAGAGGACATCAATTTTCATCGTAGAGCGAACAAAAACCATTGATTTATTGTTTTTGGTATATCAAGTTTTAATTCTAAAACGAATTTTTAAAAAAACTTTTAAAAACCTTTTTAATTGTTATGGGGCAAGAACATAACAATGTTTTACTATAAATTAAAAAAAAAAAAAAGAAAAACTAATTCAATATTAGAGTCAAGTAGAGCAAAGTTTGAAAAAACATTTAAAAGCATGCAATTTATTATTTTTAGAACATCAAGTTTTCATTGTAGGGCGAACAAAAAGCATTGATTTATTGTTTTTGGTATATCAGGTTTTAATTCTAGAACTAATTTTTCAAAAAACTTTTAAAAACCTTGTTAACTGTTAAGAACGTAATAATGTTTTAATTCTAGAAGTTTAAATAAAATTGAAAAACTAAAGAGTAATCTTTATGCTAATATTAGAGTTAAATAGACTGAATTTTTAAAAAACATTTAAAAACATTCAATTTCTTGTTTTTAGTACATCAAGTTTCTATTCTAGAGCAAACATTTAAAAACACTGGGTTATTATTTTTGTATATCAACATTTACTTACTACTTAAAAAAAAAACCCTTTCTGATTGTTATGGGACATCGACATAACAATCTTTTGGTTCTACAAATTTCATATATAATCGACGATGATATGCAAAAATAATCCAGAACCACATGAATTTTTGTCGTATAAAGCGAATTTTTTTTTAAACATTTAAGAACATTTACTCCCTATTTTGTCACATCCAGTTTTATATTGTACATCTACTTTTTCAATACCATTTAAAAACATTCAATTACTACTTTTGTCACATCAATTGTCGTATTCTATCGCAAGTTTTTCAAAGATTATTTTAAACATCTAATTTTTTTTTGGATCCTCATTTTAAATTTTTGTAACATCCAATGTTTCGACCCCACTAATCTACAACACTGAGAATTATATTATACGTTTTTGAAAAAACCGCGAGCCTGAAAATTAAAATAATTCATTATTTTTTAATGTACCGTGGAAGCAGATGTACAACTAAAATACATTGCTAAAATATGAAGACGTCATTTCAAACGATGTTTTTGTCTGATCTGATGTCTTCACTTATCAAAAATGAACGTAATTTAACAAAATTGTAAAATCTGTTGCTGATAATTAAATATAACCCAGGGAACAATCAAGTTTTGTATTCTAAAGCGATTTTTTCAAAAAAGTTTTTAAAAAACATCTAGTTTTTTTTGCCACATGAATTAATGTGTAGTTTTTTTGGAGCAATTTTTTTAAAAAACATCTAGTTTTTTTGTAAGGATCCATTTTTTTGATTTTTATGGCATTTAACACCAACGTTCTTATTCTCTAAAACTCAAGAAAATTGATAAGTTCAGTCGCCGAACTTTAGTACAGCATTTATACATGACCCACAACGACACAAATGTTGTATTTCTTCTAACGACATTTAGAAACATTCATTAATTATTTTTGTTTCACCAGTTGATTTCAGAGTGATTTTTTCAAACTACATTTAAAACATTTATCTATATTTCTGTCACACCAATTACTCTAGAAACATTCATTTTCTATTTTTTTGAGAACCACATTTATATATATCAGATGACATCCAACAGTAGTACGTTCTAATCTACAACTGAAAATTACATGTATCTATTCTACTCGGTTGACAAATGCATATTTTGAACGTCTTGTGGACCTCATTTCAAAGGATATGTTTTTGTAAACACGTATTTGATAAATGTCTCCACTTACTATAAGAGAGAAAGTAATGTAAAAGTGCTACGTCTTAATAGTAAACTTTATGCTAATCCTTAAAAATTACCCTCCCAGAAGCTCATCACGTTTCCTAGAGTCTCTAGATCTAATTTTTCAACATTTAGTTTTTGTCACATCAACTTTTCTATCTTAAAGTGATATTTTCAACACACACTTACTTATTATTTTTCAGAGTTCCACATTTAGACAGTCACTACTAGCACTTTTTTTCTGCGAAATTTTAAAACTACTTCTACTTTTTCTACGAACACTGAATTCATTATTCGCTATGTGCTTGAAGTCAGTTGTAACACGGCAATCACCTTATCAAAATACTTTGAAGACCTTATTTCAAAGCGTACGTTGTCTGAAACGAGGTCTTCACTTCTTAAATATGAATGTAACTTAAATATATATATATTGTATTTGGCGAGCTAATATATAACTGCCTACAATTCTATTCTAGAGGTAATTTTTCAACCACATCTACTATTTTTTTTTTTTTTTAAATACACGGTAACATCATATGACAGTCAATACTATTCTACAAATCTCAAAATTTAAAACTCCATTCCATCGTTCGCTATGTACCATGACTCGGTTGTAACATTATAAGCATTTAATCACATTTACTATACTCACTGAGAGTGAATGTAATGTAAATGAGTAAATAGCAAACTTACGCTAGAAATTACCCGAAAAAACATCAAGTTTTCTATTCTAGTTATTTTTTTAAAAAACATTTATGTACTATTTTTAAATCCACATTTATATTATATGCCGTCAACACTACTACTTTATTTTCTACACATTGAAATAAATTTGAAAAGTAGGTGTACTTTTTCTAAAATAAGTTAATAATCATTCGCTATGTACCGTTAAAGCTTCAATCACGTTATTAAAACATTTATCGTAAATCTACATCAAGTTTTATAGTCCATGATTAATTTTTCACTAAACATTTATTTACTACTTTTGTCACATCAAGTTTAGTATTCTATGTCGAATTTTTCAAATACATTTAAAACGTTCATTAAGTTTTTTTTTTTTTAATTTCATGACATTCAATGTTTCTATTCTACGAATTTCAAAAAAACCTAAAACTGCATGTACTTTTTTGAGACAACCGAAACAAGATTAAGTTAACACATTACTAACATTGTGAGGATTATTGTCAGTTCAAACTATATCTTTATGCAAATATTTATTTAATAAATGTGTAATATGTCTTACTTTTCACGAAAGTATGTAAAATAAAAGTATAAAGTGTGAATTCTGATCTTAAGCCGATGTATAAATATAATCTACCTTCACCTACTTTGTATGGCTATACCAATTAGAGGGTAGTTTTCGAAATACATTTAGAATTTTAAGTTCCACAAGATTTATTATCATATTACTAAAATACCACGAAGACGTCATTTCAAATTACTTCCCTAAACATCTATTTAATAAATGTTCCAGTTCACGTTTTACTACTACGAATGGATGTAATGGTAAATGTTGAATGTGATGGGCGAATCTTATGCTAATGTTTAAAAATGACTTAGGTCCGTTTACACCACACTTTTAACCACCTGATTAATGGATGTGTGCTATTATTAATTAATAAGGTGGTTAAAGTACGGTGGAAACGGGCCAATGAAACATTCAATTTATGCTATAGCGTATTTTTCAAAAGACATTTATTTATTATTTTTTTTTGTGTCATATTCAACTTTTTTAATTTTTTATGACATGCACCATCGATATAAACCTACGAATTTTAAGAAAATTAAAAATTACGTGTTTTCTTCGCCTGAGGAAAATCAAAGCTTCAATCGCCTAGTATATGCATACTTTTTAATACCCTGTGGAAGCAGTGAAACCATAATTAAGTCAATGTAGATGTTCAACCGAAATTTCATAAACATTCGTTGCATTGGTTTACGATCTTTAAAATCTTATTCTACTTACGTTAACCATTATGAAATATGAATACATAAGCTAAACGACTGTGCTAGGATATCTTACGATTTCCTAGCAACTTTTCCGGTATGACTCGAAGTCTAGTTTGGCTGAGGACATACAGTGATTATATGTCTCTTAAATCTAGACGGTAACCTTAAAAGTATACACATAATTTCACATTGACCAATCATTTCGGATTATAGAGTACCAATTAGATTAGTTAAACCGTTTAGTAATCTTAAAGTATACACATAATTTCACATTGACCAACCATTTCACGGACCACCGAATACATGCGCCAGCAGACACCTAGATGGATTTAAAAATTAGAAAAACATCAAGAAAATGTCAAGTTAAATTTTAGTTTAAACTACCCTGTTATAACAATTGTTTAGTTTATGTATACTCGCGAAACAATTTTGTTTTCATTTAAAGCCTATTTGCAATGGTCAACAAGTTTAAACTTTTCTAGTTGCTGTATTAAAATAAATGATTTTTCTTTATTAACAAGGTATGAAATATTTAACAATGCGGAGCTTAGCTCCGCAAACACTCGTATTTTTAGAATTTTTTTTACCATTAGTAACGGACACACAGGAACATCCATAGTATAAAATGATCACAACATTTACTCTAACATTGTTCGTAACAGGAAACAACGAGAGTAAAATTGAGTATAATCGTAATATTAATATACGGTAATTGAACATTACGGATTGTAAATTTCGTCCGAATGTTTTCTTATTTAGGATTATGCTGACATGAAAAACATGCAACATTCATTTAATCAAGTAAAGATGTCACGGATATAATAGGAAAGAAGATATATTTAAACACATAACAATTAAGAATGAAGAGACATATAGGTTTGAGTTTTTGATTAAAGTTCTACCCTGCATTACATAGCTATACCCGTCGATTGTCCTTAAGTACACTATGACATCACTTAACCTTTGTACGGTTGTCTTTATTCCGCGGGAGCGGAAGTGTTGTTGAGCTGGTCCTGCGACGATGTGGCGGCCAGCTCCTCCATACGCTGGCGGTATATGTAGCTCCGCAGTAGCGCCTCCCGAACGGGTAGCTACTGCGTGAATATATGCTATAGTAGCTGGAGGGAAGTTGCGCTAAGGCCGGCGCCGCTAGCCTGCAGCATTTGAGCCTAGTATAGAATGAACGTCATTTAATACAAAAGAAACATGACCCACAAAAGTGGAGGAAATGAAAATCCACTTTTAGACACGGTGACTCACGAGTAAGAGAGCCTGACCAAGTCGAAGATGTAGCTTCGTAGACTTACTTTTCATTTTATCAGAAACATATTTTAACAAATAAGAGATAAACACCTATTAGTTTCCAAGAAATACCTATAAATGATGTTCACTATCACGGTACTACATGACACAGTACATTTAACAATCATTGACTTGTTACCTTATGGCAGCCATGTTTTTTTAGAAGATGTTCGCAGCAAATATACATTACACAACATTAATACAATTTTTACCACTGTAGATCCCTTACTATCAGAAGTAAACACAATACAATAAAGACATATACATAACAAGTTTTTTCTAATGAGTTTTGAAGCAATGACAAGAAAACACACCTGTCGTTGTTTGATGAAGGCTGCTAGCAGCTGCGGATTAGCTTTCAGTATATTCAATATTTGGAGTTCTTGTTCTGCGGACCGTGGCAACCTTAAAGCGTGAAGTAACTGTTGCAGAGCTTGTCGGCTCTGGAGACTGAAGGTGCTTGTGATGGGGCGAGTAGACTCTTGGGTTTCCCGTACGGGACTTTGACGAATTTGGTCCTGTTGGATTGTCTGGAGATCTGGTTGGCGGATCAAAAGGGGATCAGTTTGCTGGATCATCTGTGGATCGGGTGGTTGGATTATTGGGAGTTCGGGTTGCTGCATTCCCTGGACTCCGTCGGGATAGCCGGGTTGCCATGGCTGAGTCGGCAACAAGTTACCTAAAAACATCAAGGTCCACGTCACCTCGACTCGTCATCGCATATTTTTGTATATTTTTAAAGCTATCCGAATTTCACCGAAATGAGAAATCTTAAGGGAAGCTTACACGTTCAAAACAAGTACTAAAACAATGAAACGTAGTAGCGGCTTTTGCAAAAGGCGCCAATGTCGACGTGGCAGATGCGTCATCCATAAATATATAAAGTCCGCTTATGCAAAAAATGAGAAGTGTATGTTTTGCACCTAGATAGTACAAACCTCCGGCTTACCTTCACTGGTTTCCAAATGCTCCCCTACCACAACCAACTGCGGCGGCGGTGGCGGTGATGGGATGTTCGGATCGGGGACTTCGCCAGCGGGCATGGCCTCCTGCTGAGATTTTGTTTCTTCCTGGCCAGGCTTCATCAACGAAACAAATAAAATCAAGCTATTACTTTTTATTTTTTCGTTTTTAAGACAGTTTTAGCATAATTGCTTCTTCACCACTTACTTCGCGACCCGCAAGTTCAATAAAATGGCGGCCCCACCCTGACGCGCAATGGAAATTTCGGAAACAGAAATCAAGATGGAGGGTTGACCTTCAAACGACTCCTTCATTTTATTGATAAATCAGCCCCTCGTAGAGCAACAGAATAATAAAAAAGTGGCCATTCGTCCGATGGACACGATCAAAATACTTCCTTAGCCAACGCCCAAAAAGTAAAACTAAAAGTTGATCGATGGTCTATAATTCCGAACAAGTTTTTTCCTCGAATAACGACTCCTTCAGTTTATTGATAAATCAGCCGCTCGTTAAGCAGCAGAATAATAAAAAAGTGGCCATTCGTCCGATGGACACGATTACTATACTTCCCTAGCCAACGCCCAGAAAGTAAAACTAAAAGTTATTATTATTATTATTATTATTATTATTATTATTATTAGTTTTGCGTTCGGGCAGAGGCCTAGCCTGTTATGCCCGCGCTACCTAACTACCTAACTAACAAACGAATCCAATTAATTTTATCCATTATAATTATCAAATTTAATTTTGAAATTTGTCACTGTATCAGCTTCAACAATACTGGCTGGTAAGGCGTTCCACGTCTCGAAAACTCTATTGGAAATAAAATGTTGCCTCACTGTGGAGCGGAATTTATCCTTCACTAGTTTAAAACAATGCCCTCTAGTTCTACTAAGTGTATTCAGGGGAAACAAATGCCTGATGGGTGATTGCGGATCTTTAAGCGCCCGAAAAGTTAAAATTAGGTCACCTCTCTTACGCCGATTGGAAAGCGTTGGAAGACCCATCATTACAAGTCTGTCAGCATACTGCGGCCGAATTCTACCAAATGGAATTCTTGTGGCCCTTCTTTGCACAGATTCTAATAGCTCTATATCCCGTTGAAGAATCGGAGACCAGATGTAATTGGCAAACTCAAGAACTGGCCTGACATAACTCTTATAGAGCTTGCTAATGACAGATATATGACTTCTCGCAAATGCTCTCCCCAACAAATACACCATTTTGTTCGCCTTTCTAATAGTACTCAAGACATGTTCAGACCAAGAAAGAGTGGACGTGACAAGTACCCCTAAGTCGACGTGGGAATCAGATTTACACATATCTACACCGTCTATCAAATAGGTATGTTGGGGATTGGCGTTCCCAATGTAAAGAACTCTACATTTTGCAATATTAAGTGGAAGTAACCATTCCGAGCTCCATTTGCATACTTCCAGAAGGTCTTGAGTCAATGCCATCCAGCTATTACTTAAGTTATACAATTTAACATCATCTGCGTACATGGCAAATGAGGACCTCAACCTAAATTTCAAATCGGCTGTATAAACTATGAACAGTAGCGGCCCAAGAACGGATCCCTGCGGCACACCACTTAAAACTTGTACACAGTTACTTAACGCACCACCGACCCTCACTCTGAATGTCCGCTCCGATAAGAAAGCGTCAATCCACTGGTAAAGATTTCCCCTAATACCTAAATGCTGGAGCTTAAACAACAAATGACGCTTGGGCACACGATCAAAAGCTTTAGAGAAATCCAAGTAGATGACATCAACCGAGTTTCCCAAGTCAAGTTCTTTTGTCCAGTCAGAAAGACAACAAAGAAGATTGGATATGATGGATTTTCCCGGGAGGAAACCATGCTGCTCCATTGGTACAAGTTGATGTTCAGTAACAAATTTTAGGATGGATTCATAAATTATTGATTCCATTATCTTAACAACTAACGAAGTCAAACTAACAGGGCGATAATTTGTTGAACAGAACTTGTCCCCTTTTTTAAATATAGGGCGAACTATGGCTATCCTCCAGTCACTCGGTAGAGTTCCCTGGGAGAAGGACTGCTCCATCAGACGACTTAAAGGTTGGGCAAGAGAGTCAGCACAGTTTAGCAAAAGCGAGGCATTAATTTCATCTGGACCAGGCGACTTAGTACATTTTAATTTTTTCAGTTTCGCGCAAACGACCGTTTCTGGAAACTCAACACTGTCAAGATAAAGACCATGACTAGGTCCAGCCAAGCTTGGAAGTATGTTGTTCGGCGCAATCGTGAATGCACTAGAAAAAGTTTGTGCAAAAATCTCAGCCACACTAGCACAATCCTCGATGACATGACCATTTTCATCTTTTAGTTGCGGAGTGGTAACCGAGCCAGATATTTGATTCCGAACATGTTTGTAAAAACGTTTGACGTCATTGTGATCAGCAATGCGTCTCTCATAAGCAATGCGAGCATCCTTAATTGTGGTTAAGAGCCGATTTGAGAACTCTCTGTGAATTTTGTAGTCCGTGTCGCTGCTCGATCGTTTAAACTTCCGCCATAAAGCTCGTTTAGTCCTCACAAGTTTTAAAATCTTTGCAGTTATCCATGGTTTGGTTGAGGATCTTTTTACCGTGATAACAGCGGAATGTTTCGAAACCGTGCTTCGAAGTACATTTTTAAACACCTGCCAGTTTTGTTCAATTGATTGGTCAGAGAGTAAAGTGAACCAATCTAATTTTTTGAGGTCTTCGTTAACAGATTTATAGTCTGTAACAGTTCTCAAAAATGAAACCGTTCTTTCTCTACGAAAGGTACAAATCTGCATATTGACCTTGAGAACTACATGGTCAGAGTTACCAACTGGATCAAGATACTCTAAATTAGCTAGTAAATCATCGTCAGATGTAATAATTAGATCTAGAGTTGAAGGTTGCTGACCGGCTCGATACCTGGTAGGTTGATCTACTAATTGTATTAAGTGATGGGAAAGTAACAAATCAACCAACAATTGCGAAGATCCACTATAGTTATGGGACATCTCTAAAGGCCACTTAACATCCGGCAGATTGAAATCACCAAAGATAAATACCTTATTGTTATTGCTTGCTAGCTCCGACAATGTTTGAAAAAGCAATTTGTCGTCATTCAATACTGAGGAGGGGGGTCTATAAATACATCCTAAAACGAATGTTAAAGTTTTATCCGTAACTTGTAAGAAAAGAGATTCAATATTTTCAGTGTTATAGTTAATAATACTTACGGAATACTTAGACAAAATGTGATCAGCAACATATACACAGACACCACCACCTCTCCGACCGATGCGATCTTGTCTAAAGATATGAAATCCGTCTAATAAGATCAATGCATCAGGGATATCTGGGTCTAGCCAGGTTTCAGATACAAGTAGAAATGAAGGCTGAACATCACGAACAACAGCAACCAGATGATCATATTTTGCTACTAACGACGCCAAATTTGTATAAGCTATCAAGTTGGTCATGAACATGGGAGTGTTAATATTATTTATGCTGTTGAATGTGATATATTACTAGGGGGTGAGGTTGCATTTGTCAGTTCCAAATAAAGGGAGTGAGCTTTTTTAAGCTTTCGTTGTACTTTAAGGCATCGATTTTTTATGCTTTTCTTGGTTAGCGTGGGATAGATTTCATACAACATCTGAATGACTCCTTCCACATCATTGGTAAAACGTTGAACATATTCTATCGGATCTGTAGCTTCGAAAATATTTTGCATAATCTCAGCAATATTGTCAAAATTCAAAGGGAACGGTGAACCTGAATCCTCGATTAATTCCTTTGCAGGAGCTAAAAGTTCTGGTATAGGTGTAAGACTCTCAAGTGAATCGCTTGACCGTAACTTTTTAGGTTGTCTATCTTCACCTAAACTCTTCTGCGAAAAATCCAACGGACCCTCCATAACATCAGGAGAATTGTCACTTGAGGAAGTCACCTGCCTCTTACTACCGGAAGCAGTAGGTTCACTATTAATAGAAGAAGAAGTCGTAAGATTATCTTCCACTGATACCTCTGAAACAGGGTGGTTTCCGTCACCCGGCCTCATTCCCGAAGGAACATTAACAGATAGCTCAGTTGTTTCGTGCGAATTGCTAGCTTTTTCACATTCACTCGCAAGATGGCCAGCCTGTCTGCACTTGAAACAAACATTATCATAACAGTAAAATATTCTATAAGGGGTATTATCATATTTAATTATGAGAGAGGCCGGTAGTTCGATATCGTCATTGGGTTGAACAAAAATTTGTCGACGAAAACTACGTATATGAGCGTAATTTTCACCCTCCAGTCTCGCTTTCAAAAACGACATTGGAGAAACAATGTTAAAGCCAAGCGTTTTAATTTGGTTAATAAACACGTCATGGGGAATCGAAGGGCAGACATTGGATAAGATAATTCTGCGTGCCGGATTTATCAAGCGACGTACCCCAACAATCAGATCATTAATTGATAACTGAGAGTATTTGGTGACAACCTCATCTACTAATGCTACAGAACTAACGTAAATGCAGACTCGGTTATTGGCCAAGCGCGATGCGAATAATATGTTCTTAGGTTCTACAATTTCAGCAATTGCAGATACATAATCTTTTAATTGCAAACCATCGACAGCTGTAACAATAATAGCTTGTTCCTTTGTTGGAAAATCATTAATTTGAGAACTCATATTGTAAACTAAATTGACAGTGATATAGGCAGCCCACAATGTCTCATGACAATTTTTTCCGAGAGCAGTTAAAAGAAATTATCAGCTGAAGTAAACTCACCGATAATCTCCACCTCGACCCTGTGATTTACCTCAAATTGATGTCAACTGCTAATGCAGCTGAACACACTATGCCTCCAACCACAGGATATGCAAGTCAATATATCTAATGCCTCACTTACAAATAATTTCCAATTATTTCCACACAATCGATTAACACTCGAGGAACACACTCCTAACGCTCGCTACGCTAGTCAATTGAAGTTGATCGAACAAGTTTTTTCCTCGAATTTCAAAAAATCTCGCTGTAAAGGTTCTACCGAAGCTTATTTCTTCTATAAATTTTGTTTTATCCACGATACCCCGTTGTGAAAATCGTCAATGGCAGACGAGCCACACCCACGACCGACCCGGGAACAGGAGAAGGCCATCTAAGTATTGCAAAAATCCACGAAAAATACGCAAAATATCACAAAATTTACACTATCTTACAATAAACATCCACCGTACGACCGCAAAATAACAAAATAAAACTTTGTTTAAAGTCCAAATTGTTGTTTTGAAATTTTTTGGTTTTTTTTTTACTTCCAAGCAAAAAAATAAGTAAAAACGCCAACAAATACAAGATATTATAATATACTCACGTTTACCACGAAAGTACAACACTGTTCAGACTCACTTTTCTTTTCTTCTTCTCTGATGGTACACATTTTTGCTCCATAAGTGTCGAAGTTGAGTTTAGATAACGCGAAAGTTAAAACAAGTTTAAACCGAACGGTATTTTCATCACCGAAATGGAGAGCACAGCCAGATCGTACAGCCATTTCTCCATTTCCGTGATAAACTGGTCGTAGCTTTCCCGTGACGTCATTCCGGCTCAACGTCTGGGCCTCAACTCAGCCTGGATATAATGCGTTTACGTATGTTTTTGCTGGATTGCGCAACATAATAAATCCATTTTTTTGACCGTCAATGTCAATAAGGGCGTTAGCTGTTATTCCAGGGACTACAGAATTGCGCAATGTAATAAATCAATTTTTTGTATGACTGTCATTCTCATTATGACTATGGGCGTTAACTTTTACTCTTGAGGCAAGTCTACCATCGCTTTAAACGGATTTACATTGTCTAAGGGGGCTTTTGGTGCTCCTCTTAGAGCAATTTTCGTACTAGCCAAATCGGTCCATATGTTTTGGTCTGACTGTTCAAGCTTAGGTCGACAAGCCCTGTCTGGGGCTACGTTCAGAAAGCGACATGCAACAAAGCCAATTCGATATAGACTTCAGCAGACTTCTCACAGCAGAGATCTTTGCTCTCGCTTCATGCACATAGAGTCTATAATCGAACTACCTTTCGGACGGTTATTACGACTTGCACGCTGGAACTGCGAAACCTGGGCGTCACCAAGTCGATGCCTGTCTCTTTCCAAGCCACAGGTCTCAGTTCCAACGGCAGGCAACAGATATATAGAGAATTGTGCTAACCTGAGTGGTGTTCAATTCGGAAGCGACGAGTGAGAGACCGGACTCCTTCTGCTTCCTCGCCGCGCGCTTGGCGCGACGCTTCAGCTTCATCAGCAACTTCAACTTGGCACAGTAGGGGACGACGCAGAGTTCAGATTCACAGTCTCGGTTTCGCTTGGCATGGTAACAGCAAAGGGCCAGCAGCTGACGACAGGAATTGCAGTCTCTCTTGGGTGTTCTGGTGCACATCTGGAAGTGCACCACGGTACTCTTCATTTCATCACAATCTGGATTTTGGCAATCCGGTTCCGAACACGTACAGGCATGCAAAAACCTGTGATAGGCCTTGATGATCTTCAACTTTCTTATTTTCTTACACAGGATACCACCAGCACGGATCTTGGGGGTGTGGTCCCCGTAAGAATCCATGTCTTCACTGACTGACGCCACCACCTGCAAAGAGCAGAATCGAACTTGTCTGGGCTTTCCCGGGGGCGTTTGCCCAGGTGACTTGTTGCTGACTGGGCGCAGATTTATTGAATATGGCGCTACTTACCTATTTAATTTGACAATAATATTAATGAGCCGTGCTGAGGTCTGCCAAATTGGTGCATTTGGTGGACTTTTAGCTCAGGAATCACTTGGTGTGCATCATGTTGATGCATCTTGCCTGTAGTTTGAGAAACTTGCCCGTCCCCCCTCGCTGACCCCCTGGCCCAGCCACTAGATAACATTTCAGCTATCAGGGCGTGCAGGGCCGGCTTCAGGGAGTAATTAAAATTTTTTACGCATCTACAGATTCAGATACCACACAAATTGCGAAAATAGACACTATTTTGGTTATTGAAACAAAAAAACTGCTCGTTTGAAGTGCGTCACTCACACAAATGTATATATTTCGTTCGATTTTGTTCTATGTCTGCGATCACCGACGTAAAAAATTAGTAGTTCAAATTAAATTTTGTTTTGTTATTAATAAAAGTCGCTTGGACACTGAAGCGAACTACGTTTTTGTGTCATTTACTGAAGTTTTTCATATATTATTATTTTACGTATGTTTTTTTTTATAATATGCGAACTATTTTGTGAGGGGGTCAGAATTAGTTCCAAAGCAAAAAAGTGTTCAAGGTTACTTATGTCACAAGAAAAAATAATCGACGGTTGCAATCACTATCATTTCACCTTATGCAACTCAACATACAGTAGATAGGTGTTAGAAAACGTCAAATTAAAGCAGCAAATAAACATAAAGATAGCAAAAAGTGTGCACCTCGATTTGCGTGAGATAACGTTACGAAATTCAAATATATACAGCTGGTTTAAAAAAAAAATGGGACAATTGACATGAACGTCATATTCCCATTCCTTTCCATTAATCTATGAGAACCTGATTTGTCTTGTCCCGTTGTTAGTGAAACCAGCTGTACATTTTTGTATCTCATCGTTTTTAAATGTTTGTTTTACAAATGAAATTATCAGTTGATAACAGCGGACAGATAGGTCTCTGTTTTCGGCAGCTGTTCTGTAAAAGTTATTACCTATTACTTTATTGTCAGTACTACTGTGGTTTTAAATTTTATAAAACAATAAGAACACAAGATGAATACAGGGTGTTATTGAAAGGTACGTATAACAAAAAGGACAATTTTTCGCGAAGTCTAAGAAGTCGGAAAAACTTATGTTGTGTTATCAAAATTATAAGAGAAAAATTAACCCTTATTCAACCTTTTTAGACGCTACTGAAGGATAAATAGGTAAAATTAATTTATTTTATTTTAGTAAATCGTAGCAACTGTAACAACAAAATTTTTGTCAAGACTAAATGTTGCTACAACAACGAATTTGGATATAAATTTTAATAATTTTTATCTCTAAAAAGAGAACACTTTTACCTGAACTTTTTTAACTTTTAGCACCTATACTTCGAAACCAACTGCCGATTTTATTTTGTACAGGTTGTATATTTAAATTTCCCTCTCTTCTATTGATAGATTATCGTCTAATTTCGCGAATCGACGAATTTTCGGGTTCTATTTAAATTCGTTCTATGTACGATAACCAAATGTCAACTAGATTTGTTTTTAATGGGAATCCCAGCTGTTTATTGACATTTTAAAAGAGAATAAAATTAGATGTCAAAAACAGAAAACTAATTAACAAAAAAATTGCCAGTAAGTAGACAGTAAATAGGAATTATAAACTTATTAAAAGTTTAGTCTGTGTCATCAGCACCTTCATTTTCATCGTCTAATGTGCAATCCTCATTATCAGTCAACTTCCTTCTCCATTGGCGCCAAATTTGAAACAAAAACCTTCGCAGCTGTTTTAAGAAATAGCTTCGGATATTTAACTGGATAGCCCCCGGCGATTAATTAACTAACAATTAACAGTAAACAGATCACGATCAATATATTTTTCATTTACTTCCTTAACATGGCTCGATTTAATTCTAGAACGCATTTATTTCCTATCATAGCCTTAGGATTTTGTACAAATCCATGTTAAATTAGAAAAACTACTGTAAACTATCGCTGTTAGCTATATATACTAAAACAAAAACGTTTCGTTTTGGGGTTGAAATAATACTCACTTAAATAGTGCGACAATGGCAAAAACTGTCATTACCCACCTTCCCCTATATATTTCTCGTTATTTTGAATTCGAATGGGGTGTGGAATACATTTGCGAGTTGTAGATTTTTTGTATAATTAATAAAGCCCGTGAACAGGCTTTCTACAAATTATTCCAGCCCCACTGCCTGTACGGGGCACAGGAATCTGAACCCGGCCCTGCATACGTTCTATCAGTAGTTTATAGAGTTGGTCTATTTTGCCCCAATTTTTTTAAGGCTCCAGATTTAATCTAGAGCAACACTGTAACTGAAATAAGAGTTTTAACCGGTTATATTTTCTCTATATTGAATTTACTAGCCAAATTTCGCCCTGAAAGTTCAAATCTCATCGCTCTTGCGTAGGTGTCACATCGTCAATGTCGCGTTAGAACGAAATTCCCGGCTTATTTAGCGTAATTTTAGGGTAATTTAGAGTAAAACTCCCACAAATAACGAAATTTACGTCTCATTAGTCTTTTTTCAGTTTTTCAGTAAAAAAGTTCCGGTCGTCGACCTTCCGTCTTCTAACCTCAAAATTTGACGCACTTTAGCAGAAGTCTTCGTCAAAATGCGACGCATTCAGGGCAATTTCGGCTCCAGGGATCCCGAGGAGGATCGCAAGAAGAGCAGGGAGTCCGTTTTAGCGAATCTAGTGTTGTTTTGTTCCATCGTGGTCATAATACGGGTGGGTGAGTATCTTGCCACGTTTTAATGTTTCGTCGTGTTAATACGTTTATTGCAGCCCCAGTAGTCGTAAATAGTTTCTCGGCGTGATAAGTGCGTTTGTTGCAGCCCCCATTATCGTAAGCAGCATATAAACCATGCCTGAGTACCTCACTTCCTTGTCTCTATGTTGGTGAAAAATCAGGACTGAATGTTGTGATGTGATAAAGTTTTATACATTTTTCATTATTTGTATGGCCTGTATAGTTGTAAACTATTGGAATGAAATAAATTCGTGGAGTCAATGAGTGTGTTTTATACATAGATTAGATTTGGCGTTTTCCTTAGTCGAGAGGATAACTGAGGATTTAATGTGTAAACTATTTTTTTCAAATATTGTTTATTTCTCTTTTATATAATACTTAACACTAATTAATCTAATTGATGTATGTTCAGTAATAAATTAGGATGGAGTGTTGTGTAAGTATTGCACTGGCGGGGTCAAGATTGTCAGGTGCCAGCACCACTCCACACGCGTGGAATGTAACACATGAAAACAAGACGATATATAAATTATAAATATATTATATAAAAACAAATAGGGGCCATCGGCCACCATCACAATAGCTACCGACACGACACTTACAGTCTCGGTAAAAATCTGCTACTTTATACAGCATCACTAATCATAAACTTGTCACGAGTCATCTTATATTGAATATAAAAACAAGTAATAGCAACAGTGCGTAGCTATGTTGAGTCTACCTCCGCAGGTAACAATCCGTTAAGTTAAGAACACAGCCTCGCAAGCCAAATACTTTTAGGTATCTTCATTCACATCGTAAGGTAAACATTTCACTAACATTATTTATAATATGATACAAGAGTGTATTTAAACATATGTACAATTAAAAATACATAGTCCATTTAGATTAAAAATCTACACTGTATTTACATAGCTACACTCGTCGGTCGTCCTTAAGTATACATTTACATCACTTTACACTTGTACGGGGGTCGTCAGTCCGTAGCACCGCTGCCAGTCCGGGGTAGCAGGGCCTGCGCCAGCACTCACCACTAGAGCTGCTCGACGAACCTGCTGAGCTGGTCCTGGGGCGTCATGGCGGGCACCTCGCCGGTCTCCTGGCTGGCGCCGACGGGGGAGGCGTGCGGGTGCAGCGCCCCCGCGTGGTTCTGCCCCAGCAGCATCTCGGACGCCGAGTCGTGCGGCGACGGCTGCGGCCCGCGGGGACTGGCCGCCGCCTGCGTCCGCGGGCTGGGCGACGGCCGCGACGACGGTGACGGCTGGGGGCTGCGGATGGGCGGCGGGCTGCGCAGCTGCTGCTGCTGCACGGAGATGCCCTGCGGGGGGCCCATGACGGCCTGCGGCGACGGCACGGGCGGCGGCGTCGGCTTGAGGCCCTGCATGGGCGGGTACTGCTGCTCGGGATACGAGTTGTAGCCGAGGTGCGGCTGCCGGATGGCGGGCAGCCGCTGCTGATACGACGGCGGGGCGGACGGCTGCTGGAACGGCTGTTGCTGTTGCTGCTGCTGCTGCTGTTGCACTTGTTGCTGCTGCTGCTGGCGCTGAAGCGCGAGCATCTGCTGGTGCTTGTACCACTGCTGCTGCTGCGGCGTCAGCGACTGGTTCGGCGGACCTTGGTTGAGGCCCTGGCCGGGGTTCTGGCCCGGCGTCTGCCCGAGCATGCCGCCCTGCATCTGCAGCCGGTTCTGGTGCTGCCCGCTGTTCTGCTGCGTGAGGATGTGCTGCAGCTGCTGTGGGGGCGTCGTGCCCACACCCGCGCCGCTGGCCTGCTGGAGTTGAGCCTGCTGCAGAACAAACGCGATTTAGCAAAATGAGGGCGTTGGCCGCGAAAATTAGGAGGGAATTTTCGAATCGACAAACAAGAATTGGACAATTTGTATTTTTTGCAATATTTTGACCCGAATTTTGCAGGTGGTGAGAGTAAAATATCGTGAATGTGTAATTAATAATAAAGTCTACAGTCAAAAGTCCGAAGGAAATTTACGATATTCTACACGGTTGATCATGTCTTTTTTAAGTTGTTTAGATGTAGAAATACAAACAAAGTTATCCGTTAATATAGTGCTTTAAAGTTTTCATGCATGTAGTCCCAAAACACTCTCACCAACTTACAAAGACGTGCTAAATATGATTTATTAGTCTCACAAGGCCGCCTTTTTTAGTTGATTATAACTCTATGCAAAAAAAAAGAAAACCTATTTTCAATAGGATAAAGTTAGTAAAACTTTAATTTTTTACTATATACATCGTCAGGAAAAATAGGTAAAACATCACTGAACAGTGAATGATTTTTTTCAAAATTTAAGCAACATAAATTTTACGTCATTTTTTTTTAAATATGTTTATTTTAAAACCTTTGGTTTTTCTCTTGTAGCGTGATCTCGGCGTATTCTTTAAAATAGACAAAAAGTAATCTGCAAGCAATGAATATTCCCAACTTCCTCGGTAACGTTTTCCAATCGATACAATATCTTGTTAGACAAGCATTCTTCATGTTTATCGCGAACAGTACCTTTGTTTTCTAGACAAAAACTCAGTTTAAGTTTAAGTATTTAAGCACCAAGATTTTTTAGGAAAACTTTTTTTCAGTATTTAGACACAGCTGCAGTTTTTTTAACAAAAAAATAATTTACTCTTACTGAAATAATTACATATTAACTACTACGGCTCGGATAATAATATGCAAAATGCATATTTTTGCGTATTCTGCATATTTAACTAGAGACCAAAGTCTAAGAGAACCAAATAAAAAACATGTTTTGCATGTTATTCAATGTAAACTCAATAATAGGTATCTCTTACATAAATAATTATTTGTGTTCAATTTTTATAATAGATGTCGAGCACAAACAAACATCTTATAAACCAACACTGGAGAACGCCTCTTCACAAAAGAAATTGTGAAAAAAGAAACTAAGTCACTGTAACTCAAACATCAATACGAGAAACTTTCTCTGGTAATACAGCCAAAAATGATGAGGAAACATTCAAGTTCGATTTATGCCATGATTGCCTCGACTATTCCATTAAAAAAGTCAAGTAATCTTACATTTAATTTATTTTTGAAAAATATTGTAAAAGGACCATTCCAGACGAAAGCAGACTCAGGAAAACAACAACTGTAGATAAATATTATACCGAAACTGTTGCTAAAATTAAGACATGTTTGCAAAATAACTTTATTTACTTTGTTGTTGACGAAACAAGAGATGTAAGAGGCGGCAAAAACATAGCAAATTAATTAGTTGGTACTTTATCTGCAAACTTTGCGTCAGATTCTTATTTAGTTGCTGTTAAAGAGTTAGAAAAGGCGAATAATGTAACTATAAGTAGATTTGTCCAACAAAGTTTAACAAACATATTTTTACCTAATGCTACACCATTTAATAAAATCGTATTAATACTTTCTGATGCTGCGTCATATATGCTGGAACCCACTTAAACGTATTTTATCCAAATTTGAACCATTGCACTTGTCTTTCCCACGGTGACAGAATAGCGGAAGTACGAAATCAATTGGCAAATGAATTAATTAGTAACATGAAAAAGGTTTTTACTAAGGCTCCTTTAAAAGTACAAGTATATAACGATACACTACCAGATGTACCATTGCCTCCTAAACCTGTCATTACACGATGATGGGGTACATAGCTTGATGCAGCTTTATTTTATTTCAAATGTTCCTGTGAGACGAAAGAAACCATTTCAAAATTTGACGATAGTTCATCTGCAGCAATCAAAAATTTTTTAAATAGTCCTAAATTAAATCAGAACTTAACTTTCATAAATAACAACTTCGAATTAATTGGTGTAACATTAACAAAATTAGAAAAACAAAAAGTACCCCAAAGTGTGTTACTAGACAAACAAATGTGGTTAAAGTTTTAGATGGACAGTTTTCAGATGAGGTAAATGTAGACCCTCAAATTGTGTCGTCCTTTAAGTATGCCCCAATAACATCTGTCGATGTAGAGCGTAGTTTTTCAGTGTATAAATATATTTTAAGTGATCGAAGACAATCATTTAAAATGGAAAACCTAGAAAAACACGATATTATAATACATGTAAATAATAATATTTTTCAAGAAAGTAACTTATTTTTTAATAATGTAATAGCATACACCGACATAGTTTTAATTTGTATATTTTTTGCATATTTTAGCAACTTTTTTGCATATAATGCCAAATTTCTCTGCATATATATGCGCATATTTATATTTTTTTTAATTGTGCATATGATTGCGAGCTATTTAATTTTTGTTAAAGAAGGCCAAATTTTTATTTTTTGTAGATTGTCGAACACGATTACTTCGAATTAAGCTTTAATTAGTTTACTTTGACTTATATTTTCGTATGACGATAACACTACAAATTATTTTTTTAACTAAAATGGCAACAATCAATCTTTACAAGCACGCGCCTTGATGGTAAGCGCAAATTACGCATTACGAATAGAGCAATTGCCAGAAAAATGAAGGTATGCCCTGCCACAGTAATTATATTTTCAAGAAATTAAAAAAAAATCAGTAACAGTGGTGCCTAAATACTTACACACGGTATTGAACCTTCAATAAATCCGCTGAATTAACACAAACACGCTGCTTTGTAAAGCTTCTAATTCAAATTAAAAAACGTATAACAAACGTCAACTTTCCAGTCTTTCCGCAAAATGGTTTCCACCTGCTCTGAAATTTAAATAAATGTATAGTTATGTTTTAGAACGTGATACCAAAACCAATTATTAATTTGTGGAATCTAGATATTACAAAAATTACAAATGAAGTGACTTTTCTCATTTTCCTTCCTAATTTTCTGACTCAAAGAATAGACAAATACCCGATCTCACGATTCGGTATCTATCGTCGACGACTTGGGTTTTTTCTCTGGTTCGAGGTTCGGTTTCGAGGAGGGGATCTGGATGAGAGAGGATCAACATATGGATAGTTCACAACACTGGTCACTCTAACCGATAAGAACAGAACACACCTGTCTTTGTTTGATGAAGGCGGCCATCAACTGGGGGTTCGCTTTCAGTATGGTCAGTATCTGTTGTTGTTGTTCGGGTGACTGTGGCGACCTTAACGTCTGCATTAACTGTTGTAAGGCTTGTTTCTGCATCGCGCTCTGGGGATTGATGTTGCCTGCGCCGGGTCGAACCGCCCCTTGGTTACCCTGCATGGGGTTCTGACCCATTTGACCTTGTTGGATTATCTGGGGGCCGGGTTGCCGGATTCCTTGCGCTCCTCCGGGGTACCTTTGTTGCCACTGCTGCATCGGTAGCAAGTTACCCCCTGAAATTAACAACGGCCGTGTCATCACAAATACACATTTATTACATACAAATTTACGAATTTTCTTACCTTGATCTGTTCCCATGTGTCCTCCCATTCTCAGTTGTGGAGGCGGCATGTTCTGTCCCGGCACTCCGCCGCCGGGCGTGACCTTCCCGTAGCCCACGTGCGGCGCCTGCTGCCTCGCCGCCTCCTCCTGGACCTGCTTCACCACCTGCAGCACGTTCGCTGGCGGCGTCTGCGTGCCCGGCTTGATCCCGATGCCCGGCTGGTGCGGCGACTGTATTCCCATCGCGCTGTTCGCCATCGCCGACGAGTTCATTGAGTTTGCCGGGCTGACCGCGCCCGGCACCACCGACTGCACTCCCGACGCGAGCCCCACGCTGTTCGCGCCCGGCATCGCGTTGCCTTGCGGCAGCGTCCTCGTGTTCATCACCGCCATGCGCCTTCGGAGCAGCTGCGCCTGCTGCAGCCGCTGCTGGAGCTGCTGCTGCTTCAGCTTGTGCTTGATGTTCGAGCAGAACGGCACCGGACACTTGGTCTCCTGGCAGTGCTTCGCGTGGTAGCAGCACAGGGCGATCAGCTGCTTGCAGATCGGGCAGCCGCCGTTGGTCTTCCTCTTGCACACCTTCGTGTGCGTCACCACGCGCTTCATCTTCTGGCAGCTGGTTAGGCGGCAGTTGGCGTCGCGGCACTGGCACGCGTGCACCAGGGAGTGGATGCACCGCTGGATGGACAGCTGGCGGGCGGCCTGCGGGTTGACTTGCTTCTGGTCGCTCGGCGAGCTGCCGTCGTCCAGGTCGAGGCCGAGTTTCTCCATCTTGTGGGGATGACCCTCCTTGTCGTAGCACTGGATGCAGAGGTCGAAGTCGTCGCAGACGGTGCAGTGGTAGCGCGTCTCGACGTGGCCTTTGCAGTGGTTGCAGGTGTAGACGAACTTGTCCTGGCCCTGGTTGTGGAGTTCGTAGAGCATGCACATGGTGCTGAATTTGGCGCGGCGCAATGACGAGAATTCGTAGTGTTTTTCGCGGGCGAGGGTGAGGAAGGCGTCGCGGCCGTCCATTAGGTCGCAGTTGATGAAGGGGTCGGGATCTTGGATCGGCTGTAAACGATGGCGACGGAAATTAGTCAAATTGTTAGATTAGGCGAACTGGCAACTGAATAATTGTAACAAAAATAATAATAATAATAATATTAAAGTATGTAATCGCTGCTCAGACTTTAAACTGAGCATATGGTAGAATAAACACAGAAACACATAAAACAATGAAAAGTAAAAGTTAAAAAAAAAGTAAGAGAACCAAAGACTTAAAAAGTGCAATAAAAAGAGAACATAATGTAAAAAATTATAGCGGTATTATTTAATTATAATTAGAGAACAACACAGTATTAAGCCCTAGGCTTTCAAGGCCTGGAGAGCAATTTAAATAAATAAATTATGCTTACGTGACTAAATATTTTCGATATTTTATATTTCTTTTAGAATTTTTTAAGACATTGATTTTTCTACTTTGAAGAAGATACATATTTTTATTCATAAAATTGGCTTAAGTTAAACTTAACCAAACAAGTAATAAATACCTGTTCTTACTTAATTTTATTTACCATTGTCTGTAACTAATTAGAAATAAAGCACATACTGCAGGAAAGAGCAAAGTTCATTTTATTTAATGGCTGCATATTTAATATCGTTGAGTGATTCAAGAAATAGCTTCGGTTACACTTTCGAGATTTTATTACAAACTGTTCGAGTTCTCGAGGAAGAAAAAAGGTAAAGAAAAAGAGTTTAGAAATTCTATAGTATGGATACCCAAGCGCTAGAATGATCAGGTGCCCTTCATGTGATCACTAGTTCAACAGTCAGATTTACACGCTAATTCTACGTAAAGCAATTGCGGCTGGAATTTCAAAAAAAAAGGTTTTAAACTTGAAAATTAATTTTTAAGTGTGGCACACTCTGTAATTGTGTCATGCTATATATTAAGCACATCTTATATTTTTTTTAAATCCCAAATTGTACGTTTTAATTAGAAATGAAGTGAACAATTGCAAAATGTATCTTTTTAAATCTTGAAAGTCAAAAAATTAAATTTCAACAGACAAAAATAGAAGGTAGTAACAATGGAATTATTATTGTATATCAACTGGTTGTGAAAGTAATTTGAAAAAAATATCAAAACAAATTGTTATAGATATTTACTCTCTTTGACAAGCAACTACATACAAATGATAAACATAAAAAAACATTTATACAGGATGAGTCACTAAGCGCGCGGTGTTTGATATCATTGTTATAAATAAGAAAAAAATGAAAGGCCAAAATTCTACGATTCTCTGAGGACTATACTTTGAAATTATTTCGACTATACAGTAATTTGTTTTTAAGGCATGATAATTGCAACTGATTTTCATCTATCTAAAAAAACCACGTGCACAAAACAATAATAATTTTTAAAAATATAGTACTTACAGCAGTGTATCACAAGTATTAACAAAATTTTAAAAAAGACTGATTTATTGAAAATATTAAACAAAAACTTGAAAGAAAAACACGAAAAAATAAAAGCGAAATATACACGAGGAACACAGTGACGACACGAAAGCTAAACTTGCAATGATGTCGTTAGTCTAAAATTTAAGCTGCTTAAATCCGAACGGGTCCAGGTACTCGGCAAACATTCCTTGACCAATAGTATTGCAGCTTTGACTAATCACTTTTACAACTCCAGAGCTTGGGTAATGATCCTATAGAAATTGGAAGTGAAAGTAGGAGCACAGGGCAGACGAAAGATGAATAGATACGGAAATATTTACATTGTACTAAAAATTTAGATGCTTCTGGGTGGCTCCACGTGCGCTTTGGGGAACGTGTTGTTTCCACAAGACAGAAAAAAAAACAACTTTAAATTTATTTCAAAAAACTCTGTTGCATTGTTACAGTCGTTTTGGTTTTTGGTGCTAGTTTGTGGCACTCACATCTACCGTCATTTTTTTGTCAATTGTTTGTGATTTTAAGTAACAAATATGAAAAACGGCATCCATTAGAATGCTTACGTTGTGTCTTTTCAGACTCTCTATTATGGGCTGTAACTTTTTTTCTGTATATACCACGTATTGAAAAGATTGTAATTTATTTTACTGTTTAAGAAGGGTGTCTTCAATAATAAATATAAGTAAGTACCCTACCTGAACAAGTATCAATGAATGGTAGGCTACTGAAACTTAGTTATAATTTGCCCATTGTGGTGGCTTTCAGCTGTCTTTTGTGCCAACATTACAAGAGTTACTGGCTTCAAAAAATTAACCTAGTATTTTTTCCTCAACATAGCGATTTAAGGGGTAAAGTACGTTCTTTTTAAAAGTTAACATATTTCAAGCAATTTTTTCTCACGTTGTTATGGTTTAAAATGTCATATGTGGGTATCGGTGGTGATTTTGAGAAATAGGTACGGTTACGGTTTTCAGATTTTTATTAGATGCTTACGGTTTGAAACTGGAAGAGAAAGTAGACGAAAGATAGGACGTATTTACATTTGTACAGAGATTAAGTACCTACTTTAACACAGTAAATAGGCTAAATACCTCCCTCTGATAACGTTAATGCACCCCATCCTTTTATACCTGCTTTATTTGTATAATAATACCTTTGATCATTCATGAACACTATTATTACTATCAAATTTAATTTAATTTAATTAAAAACGCTCTGCAGTGGGGTCGTACTCATACTGGCATTTGAGGAATAGTATGTATATAAATATTATTGTACAAATAAAGCAGGTAGAAAAGGATGGGGTGCATTAACGTTATCAAAGGGAGGTAGTTAGCCTAAGCTACTTACTGTGGTAAAGTACTTAAATTCCAGGGCTTTCTTTGTCGTTATGATTTATAACTTTAGTCAACGTTTATTAAGAGTGGTGAGGCGACTATTCATAAATTATAAATGCGTTCAGGTAGATCACGTGTTTTTGGGGGAACGGTTGTTCCCAAATAAAAGTTTTTAAACATTTTTTGAAAATTCGCTCTATTTATCTCTACCATTAGCATAAAGTTCGCCAATTATTCTTTTCAATTCTCTTGAAATTTTTAGAATTAAAACGTTGGTATGGTGTCGAGTGTGTATAACAGTTAAAAATGATTTTTTTTAAGTGTTCTAAATAAATGTTTTTAAATGTCTTTTGAAAAATTTACTCTAGAATACAAAAATTGATGTGACAAAAACTATATAAATGTCTTTAAATATATTTTTGAAAAGTCGCTCTAGAATATACAGACTCATTTTTGGTTATCAGTTAAGGTCGACTTACTTGAAATTTGTAGAATGAAAATATTCATACAAGTGTCATACAACAATTAAATGTTTCTAAGTATTTTTCAAAAAATCCGTTCTAAAAACAAAAGTTGATGTCACAAGACCAATTAAATGTTTTAAAGAATACACAAAAAAATTGATGTTATAAAATTACTAAATAAAAATTTGCATTGATGACTTGTAAAGTACTTATATTTATTATTAAAAGCACACTTCTTAGGCTGTAAAATAAAATTACAACCATTTCAATACGTATTATAGAAAAAAGTTACAGCCCATAATAGGAGTTTGAAAAGAGCACTTCAGACTTCTAAAGGGTGTCGATCGGAAGTGAAACATCACTTGAGATCATCCTCAATTTTTTCACCAAAATCAAAAATCATACGGCGAACTTTTTTAAATTCAAATTTGTTGTTTTCATATGGAACGACTCCAAAGTGACTTTGCTTTGCGAGTTTTTTGTACTTTCCATCAAAATTCAATATAATAATAAAAAATAAGTAACTTCAGCTGCAGTCAGAAGACCGTGAATAATCAAGGATAAAAAAAAATCTCTTCCACAATTACAATCGCGACTACATAAATACAAAAAAAAAAAAAAAAAATCGCTCAGCAGCTCCAATTTCCATACTTTCGAAATCGATCTGTTTAATCAAGCAAACACTACACATTCTATAAAATATCCTTGAAACTAGACCTAGTACACACACTGTAAATTGGCAAAACTGTATTTTAAGAAAAACAAATATCAACATGCTGATATCAGCAATAAAACCAAACATCAAGGATGCCAAGTAATTGGCACTAAAATTGCCACGACTAAATAATAAAAATAACTTTCTTTTGCACATTCGTCTGTTTTCGATCATTGTATTACGTAACATTTAGTATTAGACACGTATTTTCGTTCAATTAACACTACAGCGCCAGGAGTGCACACAAAAACGAAAAAAGATAACCTGGAACTAATAAATTAACGAACAAAACCGTTTCATGAAGTTAACTATTTTCGCTGTTATTTAAAGTCATAAACACCATTGTAATGAGGTTACCATCTGTATTTCATAAACAAGGTTTCAGTTTCAACACAATTCCTCAAACAAGACAGCATCCGTTAACTATTACATACAGATTCATCCGGAAATTGCCACCGAATTTAGAACAAACATACAATTGTGGTGGTAAATACCCATCTTTCGAGACCCGATCGTAATTAATTCCACAATTAACCGTTATCTCGCAACAAAATTGTTCCTCTATGGTTACACCATTGACGCACGATTCTTATCTTTCACATCAAACATAATTAAGAAAACATTAAAATCGTGTTTCTGCTATCAGACAAAAGTAGGTTATCAGCAATCGCCAATTCGGCAACAAACTCACCCCTAAACTCGCTGCCGATTGCACCGAATGCAGCCGAATCACGAAGAACACCTCTTTATGCTTCTCCATCGTGGCGAAAATTTTCGCCGACAAATCGTTTCCGGTCTGCGGCGTGTTCGACTTCTTGCTGTTCTTTCGTTGGTTCGCTTTCGACTTATTGCTTTTCTTCGCCTTCTTCTGACCTTTCTTCTTGCCGTCGGGTCCCGTCTCGCACTCTTCCGTAAGCGAGAAGATCTGAAAAAACAACCGTCAGCGAAAATAGCCCATCGCGATCGAGCAACTTACGGCATTTGCGGCGGCTTCCGCCGCCTCCGCTTGTTTCCTCTTTTCTTCCTCTTCCTGATCCAGCTCTTTGATGCTCTCTTCTAACACGTTCGGCCAGAAGTCGCCCTCGAAGTACGGAAGATCGGCCGCCGAGCGCAGGTTATCCTCCATCGCTTGCTTAAGAATATCCTTGTAATCCAGAACGATTCGTTCGATTATCCCCTTATCCAACATCTTCTTGTACCAGTCTTGAAGTCTCTTAGGTTTGGGTATTTTTTGTTCGACCGGGTGGCAATGGAATATATAGTCGTCGCCTTCCGACGGAGGACACGCCCATATGTGCGCCATGGTGTAACCCAACTGTTTCACATAGTCCATGTAACCCAGCAGAATCTCGTGATAGACGGCAGTCCTGAACTGTCTCGGTTTGAAAAAGTGCACCGAGTCTAAATACGCGATGTAGACGCGTCTGGTGTTCGGCGGCGGGCACTCGGACCCGTACTCCTGCACGTGCATTCCGAAGAAGCAAACGTCCACGCCGTCGATCTCCTCGAACGCGAAAAGTGCCTTCGCTCTGTAAGGGAAGTCGGGCGCCAGTTCGCCCGTCTCGACGAACTTACACCGCATCCCCGGTTTCACTTCGACACTCTTTTCCGAACTCGACACCACGCGGATCGACACCTCGCCGGCGCCGGCCTCCTTCTTCTTGAGGAAGTTATTCACTCTGTTCTCTATGTACGCGCCGAGCTTGGTCGCGGGCAGCCGCTTCGCGTTGAACTTGTTCTCGCGACGTTTCTGGCCCTTCTTCTTCAGGCACTCGTCGCAGGTGAAGCCCTGCGTCCAGATGTTTTCGTTGTGTAAGACGCAGATTTGGTGGAGCTTCCTGCCGCAGTCGGTGCAGTGGACGAACGCTTCCATCTCGAGATGGTCGTTCTTCATCTCTTTGAACTGGTCTTTCTTTATAGCTCTGTGAAAGAGTAGGGTTAAACGGGTTCGACTGTCGACTTGAGGACTTACGTTTGGGCTTGCGTGGGGTCGTCTCCTAGCGTTACCGTATCGCCTTGGATGTCGTTGAAGCACTTCTGGCAGAAGGTATATCTGTCGGATCCGAGTCCATACGCTTTAAGACTGTGTACAGTGTGCACCACACAGACACGCAAGCATTACACACCAAGCCGAATTTTTGTTAAAATGGCACGGAGTGGTGGAGGAACGGGAAAAAGAAACAAAAATGACGTGTTAGAAGCGTCGACGAGTGCAAAGCCTACCATCCTAAACCACGCGTCCGAAGAGTTACCACCCTTCTACACATGTGACGGTAATGTGGGACCACAACCTGCTAGATGCTCAGTCGTCAAAAATACTGCGGATGTTATGTGTCCGAGATACCAACGACTATAAAATTGTACTCTAAACTCAAATCAGATGACTTTTTTTCAAAATTGTGATTAAAAATCAAGGCAGATTCTTAAAATACAACTATAGGGGCAAGTTATTTTATAAAATTTAAATATTGTAGTCAATAAGCGATTTTTCCTTTGGGTTTAGTAAGGAATTGGCCGGCTCATTTCCCTAGCTGTTAATATGTTACCATTTCATTTAATATCTAATTTTCTCCCTAATATTTTATTTTAGAAACATTTTTAAAGAATTTTGGAGTCCCCTGGTGTCTTTTTAAAGTGAAAGTTTCTTGACGAACCCTAGTGATTTTTTTTTTTAAGATTTAAGAATCTCGGAGGCCCCTAGTGTTTTATTTTAGAAATATTTTGAAAGAATCTCGGGGTCGTCTACCGTCGTTTTTTGGAATATTGAAAAAATCTTAAGCCTCCTTGGTATCTTTTTTTTTTTTTTTTTTTAGAATGTCAAAGTATCTTGGAAACCCATAGTGTTTTGTTTTAGGAAATTTTTAAACAATCGCGGAGTTTCTTAGTGTTAAGAATGTGAAAAATCTTGGGGACTTTTTTTTAGCAGAAAAGTTTTTGGTTTTTTGTTTCAGGAAATTTTTAAACACTCACTGGCTCCCCTAGTATCTTTTTTAAGAACATTAAAGAATCTTGGGGTCGTCTAGTGTATTTTTTTTTAAATAATGTAACAGAATCGTAGGGACTCCTCGTATTTTGTTTTAGTAAAAAGATTTAAGAATCTCTGAAATCCCCGGTGTTTTGTTTTAGGATTTTTCTAAGGAATCGCTGGATCCCCTGGTGAATCTTGTTTTAAAAACGTAAAAGAATCTTGAAGCTCCCTAATCTTTTGTTTTAGAAACATTTTAAAAGAATTTTGGGGTCCCCTGGTGTCTTTTTAAAGTGAAAGTTTCTTGACGATCCCTAGTGATTTTTTTTTTTAAGATTTAAGAATCTCGGAGGCCCCTAGTGTTTTATTTTAGAAATATTTTTAAAGAATCTCGGGGTCGTCTGGCGTCATTTTTTTAGGAATATGAAAGAATCTTAGGCCTCCTAGTATTTTGTTTTAGTAAAAAGATTTAAGAATGTCGGGTCCCTTTTTTTTTAGAATGTCAAAGTATCTTGTTGGAAACCCATAGTGTTTTGTTTTAGGAAATTTTTAAAGAATCGCGGAGTTTCTTAGTATTAAGAATGTGAAAAATCTTAGGGACTTTTTTTTTAGCAGAAAAGTTTTAGGTTTTTTGTTTCAGGAAATTTTTAAACACTCACTGGCTCCCCTAGTATCTTTTTTTAAGAACATTAAAGAATCTGGGCTCGTCTAGTGTATTTTTTTTTAATAATGTAACAGAATCGTAGGGACTCCTCGTATTTTGTTTTAGTAAAAAATTTAAAAATCTCTGAAGTCCCCGGTGTTTTGTTTTAGGATTTTTTTAAAGAATCGCTGGATCCCCTGGAGAATCTTGTTTTAAAAATGTAAAAGAATCTTGAAGCTCCCTAATGTTTTGTTTTAGAAACATTTTTAAAGAATTTTGGAGTCTCCTGGTGTCTTTTTAAAGTGAAAGTTTCTTGACGACCCCTAGTGATTTTTTTTTTTTTAGATTTAAGAATCTCGGGAGGCCCCGGGTGTTTTATTTTAGAAATATTTTTAAAGAATTTCGGGGTCGTCTAGAGTCATTTTTTAGGAATATGAAAGAATCTTAGGCTTCCTAGTATTTTGTTTTAGTAAAAAGATTTAGGAATCTCGGGTCCCTTGGTATCTTTTTTTTTTAGAATGTCAAAGTATCTTGGAAACCCATAGTGTTTTTTTTAGGAAATTTTTTAAAGAATCGCGGAGTTTCTTAGTGTTAAAAATGTAAAAAATCTTAGGGACTTTTTTTAGCAGAAAAGTTTTTGGTTTTTTGTTTCAGGAAATTTTGAAACACTCACTGGCTCCCCTAGTATCTTTTTTAAGAACATTAAAGAATCTTGGGGCCGTTTAATGTATTTTTTTTTTAATAATGTAACAGAATCTTAGGGACTCCTCGTATTTTGTTTTAGTAACAAGATTTAAGAATCTCTGAAGTCCCCGGTGTTTTGTTTTAGAATTTTTTTAAAGAATCGCTGGATCCCCTGGAGAATCTTGTTTTAAAAATGTAAAAGAATCTTGAAGCTCCCTAATGTTTTGTTTTAGAAACATTTTTAAAGAATTTTGGAGTCCCCTGGTATCTTTTTAAAGTGAAAGTTTCTTGACGACCCCTAGTGATTTTTTTTTTTTTAAGATTTAAGAATCTCGGAGGCCCCTAGTGTTTTTATTTTAGAAATATTTTTAAAGAATCTCGGGGTCGTCTAGCGTCATTTTTTCAAGAAGGTGAAAGAATCTTTACAACTCCTAGTTTTTTGTTTTAGTAAAACAATTAAGAATCTCAGGGATCTCTGGTGATTTGTTTTAGGAAAATTGTTAAAAAATCACTAATTTTTTTCAAGAATGTGAAAAAATCTTGAAGATCTCTTGTTTTGTTTTAGGAAACTTTGAAAAGTCCCCTAGTGTTTTTTTAATGCAAAAGTGTCTCGGAGAGCCTTATTGTTTTGTATTAGAAATATAAAAATATAGCACTTTTTTGTCTTTTTTTTAACGTGAAACCTCGGGGGACTCAACTGTCTTGTTAAAAAATGTAAAACCTTCTCGGGGCCCCAAACGACTTTTTTTAAAATATAAAACCTTCTCGGAAGCGCTAAATGTCTTTTGTAAGAATGTTAAACCTTCTCGGGGCGCCAATGTTTTTTTTAGAATATAAAACCTTCTCGGAGGCCCCAAATATCTTTTTTTTTTTAATGTGAAACCTTCTCGGGGGTGCCAATTATGTTTGTTAAAAATTAGAACTTTCTCGGGGGTCCCAAATTTCTTTTTTTTTTTAATGTAAACCTTCTCGGGGGCCCCAAGTGTCTTATTTTAAGAATATTAAATCTTCTCGGGGGCTCCAACTGTCTTTTTTTAAGAAGGTGAAACCTTTTTTTTGTTACACAATGACTGGTTCCTTCTATATTGTTTTTACTCCATAGAGGTTATTATAAAAAAGTAAAATTCACCAAAATTAAATTTTATTATACAGGGTGTCCCAGAATTCGCGCCACTCCCGTGAATGACATGTTCCCTGTCCCGAACTGTGCCGTAATTCGCAAAAAGAATTGTCCAGGCTTTAACCGTGTGAGAACTGGAAGGCGATTAAGTTGACCAATAGAGAGGCTGCTTTTATATCTGAACGTTTCTATGTTCAAAGTTACCTATGCCAAGAACAAAAAATCGGGTAATACTAAAGTTGAATGAATTTTTTCCGAATCCCCCTCCGTCAACAGAAGGAAACAGAAGTGTGGTTATAAATTCAATCATTTTGACAATTGTTTGTCATAAACTGTCACGAAGTTCATCACTGACCTGAACAGACGCTTCTGCCCCCAAAGATGACTGATTAATGTACACAGAGACGTCAAGGTTTACTTTAAGCCAAGTAGCATGGGACAGAAGTTATTTCTGCTGCCATTCTAGTTAAATTGTGTTTAACTGGGCTGTACATGTCATAAAAGAAGCTGTTTCATTTCATCGTAGGCAAATAATACATTTATTACTATTCTACATAGTGTAGATACCGAAGAGCAGGTATTAGAAGTCATTTTCTTAGAGCCCCGTGAATAATGTGTTGTTCTTTTTAACGAAAAGTAGTGCATTTTCAGAATTCACTATGCATCATATCCCTGATATTAAGTTTATTGTTATTTCTAAAAAAGAGTACCACATGTTCATTCAAAGAACGTTATTAAGTGTACTAAAACATAAATATCGCTTTTGATTAATCGGTGCTTATGATTTTCAATAAACAGTATCAATTTTTACCGAACAGCTTTGTTGCTGATACCTAATCTAAGCAACGAAAAAAGAGACGAGACTCTGGTGTATTGAAATCATAGGTATCTGCTGTGGTGTCAATCATGTGGGGGAGATACTGAAAACGGAGACTTATTCAAGAATAATATTGATGGAAGCGGATCCTAGGAGAAGTGTCCGCTGCGTAGCGCAAATGAGTGGATGCTCAAGATCGACCACTCATCGTATCCTTCAAGAGAGAAAACTGCATCCTTACCATTACACGAGAGTGCAGCATCTGGGACCAACCGACTACCCGATTCCAGCCCATAGATTAATAGTATTGCTCTGGATATGCTCTCACGTTAGCGAAATGTGGATTTTCGTTTGCCCAGAAGTGCCAATGGTGCGCATTAAATATTCCTTTTCGGGAAAATGAACATTCGTCGGCGAAAAGAATGTGCCGTGAAAAATCAGGATTTAGTTCATTTTGTCGCAGTAACCATTGAGCAACATGCCCTCGTCGCGCAGTCGGCTCGTCGCAGATGCTGCACTTTCGTCAATAGTAAGGATGCAGATTTTTGTCTGTAAGGATACGATGCATGATCGATCTTGAGCATCCATTCATTTGTGCCACTTGTTCTTCACCGTCTACGCGTATAATCCGTGTAGCCCCAGGAAGGCCTTTCCGAATAGGCTAAAAAGATCCATCTTCTTTTGCTGGATGCAACAAACGACGAAACACATGCTGGTCAAGGAGCCGATGGTTGGGGAAAAGACCTGTAAATTCGCGCACAGCAGAGCGTTTACATTCTCCATAAATTAACATCATTTCCAAATATTCTTTATACTAGTATGAATAAGACATCAGTGACTTAGTGGTATTGGTACTGATTTGTTTATAGTTTGTATTGTCCTTAAATAAAAAAAAAATGCAACTAAACGATTTTTGTCACATTTTTTATTCGGATCTTTTCAATCTCTAGAAAGTACTCACAACTTTAAAGAAACTGTTTTAAATCATCATGTGCAACATCAATATTATTCTTGAATAAGTCTCCGTTTTCAGTATCTCCCCCACATGATTGACACCACAGCAGATACGTATGATTTCAATACACCAGAGAAGTGGAGTCTCGTCTCTTTTTTCGTTGCTTAGATTAGGTATCAGCAACAAAGCTGTTCGGTAAAAATTGATACTGTTTATTGAAAATCATAAGCACCGATTAATCAAAAGCGATATTTATGTTTTAGTACACTTATAATAACGTTCTTTGAATGAACATGTGGTACTCTTTTTTAGAAATAACAATAAACTTAATGTCAGGGATATGATGCATAGTGAATTCTGAAAATGCACCACTTTTCGTTAAAAAGAACAACACATTATTCACGGGGCTCTAAGAAAATGACTTCTAATACCTGCTCTTCGGTATCTACACTATGTAGAATAGTAATAAATGTATTATTTGCCTACGATGAAATGAAACAGCTTCTCTTATGTTATGACATGTACAGCTCAGTCAAACACAATTTAACTAGAATGGCAGCAGAAATAACTTCTGTCCCATGCTACTTGCCTTAAAGTAAACCTTGACGTCTCTGTGTACATTAATCAGTCATCTTTGGGGGCAGAAGCGTCTGTTCAGGTCAGTGATGAACTTCGTGACAGTTTATGACAAACAATTGTCAAAATGATTAAATTTATAACCACACTTCTGTTTCCTTTTGTTGACGGAGGGGGATTCGGAAAAAATTCATTCAACTTTAGTATTACCGGATTTTTTGTTCTTGACATAGGTAACTTTGAACATAGAAACGTTCGGATATAAAAGCAGCCTCTCTATTGGTCAACTTAATCGCCTTCCAGTTCTCACACGGTTAAAGCCTGGACAATTCTTTTTGCGAATTACGGCACAGTTCGGGACAGGGAACATGTCATTCACGGGAATGGCGCGAATTCTGGGACACCCTGTATTTCAGAGAAGCAGTATTTGTTGGACTGTACTTCACAAGCGAGGGAAGTTCTGTCGAAATTTTTTTAGTCAAAATCTCACGTTATCTGGAAGCGTTCTCAGTTCCCTGGATAATGATTTTTGACTAGTTTAGCAGCGCTATTAACATATTTGGAACTATATCGCAACATATCAAGAATTCATAAATATTATGAAAAATATGTGCTTCAAAAAACTATGAAACAATTCCTATTTCTATAGATTTAATGACCCCATTACTAAGCAAAATGTTGACATGACGTCATCAAATTGTTGGTGGGGATAAGACAAATTTGAATTCGCATTTTACTAACGCGCTGACAAAAAAAATCACGGGTGTTAACATCATCTAACTTTTGGAAGGTGGCGCCATGCGGGATTAACCGAAGTGAGTAACTTCAGGCCATTTGCGTCTCTATAATCTAGCAGGTCGTGTGGGACAATCGTGATTCTTACTGACTCTGAGGTGATGATCAAGCAAGCATGCCGACAGATGTGGAGGGGTGGGGTGGTACCGTGACCCGGATTCATCCGAACCCCAATCGCGGTACCTGATTACGTTAAATTTGAATGTATGTGACCCAATGAAGCGGACTTCACCAACATACTCCGACTAACAGTTCGTCAATACAGTGCTATATCTAGAATACCAGTACGGACCGACACTAACCTGTTCTGGTAGCTGTAGTATTTGGCGTCCCTTGGAATCGTGCACAGCTGCTTCCCATAACAACACAAAACTTGTGGATTGAAAGTGTACTTCCGGCCGCAACAGTACCCCATCGACTGCATCACCGGATCTATCTCCATCTCGAACACTTCAGACAGCTGCAAACCATTATCTTTACCACCAAGAACCATAAACCATCTCGAAACTCACTTTTGTACAGTACCGGTAAACTCTGCTGGTTTTCCTGTTGTATAACCACGCGTTGTCAAACATCAACCACACGTCGTCAACGTACTCCCACGGATCCGTGTACTGCCCCAAGTCCAACTTCTTCTTAATCGTCGACAAATCCATAGGTCTCTTCACGATGTCGAAATAATCCGGTATCCCCAAAGTCTGCGGGTCCACCGGTTGTCTAAACGGCAAACTCTCCGGATCTTGCCGGTACAACTTCTCCAAAGTGGGCATAAGTTTCTGCCGAAGCTCGTCAAATTTAAAAACTACAAACACCGATTTAACACCCGTCTACCGAAAACCACCCACCGACTTACTGCATTTCCTATGTTTGTTGGCGCCGCTACTGCTACAACCCATCGGTACCAGAGAACCGTCCGAGATCGTTGGTTTGACGTCGATCGAGCTATCCGCAACCCCTTGTTCCTCCTTCACGTGGATTTCTTCTTTAATCTTCGGCTCGCAATCGTCCATCGGTTCCGACTTGATCTCGGTTTTGATTTCCATTTTGATTTCATTCTTGATGTTCTTACCACCTTCGCTTTGGCTTTGTTCGTCGTCGACTTCTTGTTTGATGTGTTTAACATCCATGGAGTTCTCTTCTTTGATTTGATCTAGTTTACCTTTGATGCTATTCGGCGGCGGCGATGGAGAATCGTCTTCTCGATCGTGGGCGGCCGTTATGGCGGCCATTTGCGAAGACATTGACGATTGGCGGGGAGCGTTTTGGGCCGCTCGTTCGGCGCTACTCATTCCTTTGCCTGGAAAATCAAGGGAGATTTTGACTTCCGGATACCATTGAAACGCGATTTTAATACCGAAATTTGACTAACATGCGGTTACATAACCCACTTAATATGGAAAAATGGTCGAATGATCAGGTAGATCAAATTTAAATTTACCATACAATACGGCGGGCGAAAAGTACAGAGAATCCATCAGCAACGCATTTTCAATTAAAGAATTTGCCGTTTTTTGAAGAAGTTGGTACATGGATCTTTGATCCAGTTATTATGCATTTATTTGGTTAAAATTTCATTTTTTAGACTTGGGTTTTTCGGTTCGGCATCAAGTCATTTCCAAAAACAGTAAAAAAAAATTGTCTTGTTTTTTAATTTTATGGCGTAATCTTTTGTATTTCTTAAAAAAGATCTTTCTTTGTTACCTGTGTCTTCTGTTGAGTAAAGACAGCATTTCACCCTCTCTTATTAATAAAGTATTGTCTATTCCATGAGTAGGATACGTACCATGCATTTTGAACCATAGAAATTTAAGATATCTTCCTTGCACTGATTCTATAAATAAAATAAAAATAAATAGGATGCCAAATAACATACATCCATATTGCAAACAAGAACAACATAAGCATTAAACAAAGTTTTTATTGCATTGATATTATTAAATTTTCTAGATTGTCTAATTATAAAGCCAAGCAGAGAAGATGTATGAATGACTAATATAATACATAAATGTGAGTCTAAATAAATAACCCAGTTAGAGATTTGTTTTTTATGGCATAGTTATAGATTCGACCAGATTTGTCCATGCAAATGAGATGATTTTACATTTATTATTAAAAATATGTAATAACAAAGGATTTTGAGAAGTTACAAAGAATTAAGTTATCGTCCGATTTAAAAACACTGTATAATAAAGTCCACCAAATAGTGAACATTGACTGTGTATTTCCAAAAGTGTTTATTGAAAGCCCCCAAATAAGCTGCTCAGGATTATAAAGGTGGTGATTTACAACGCTCTCCTGATTCGGATTACTTGTCCAAATTGGACATCATTGACCATTATAACATATTTCAGTTTTTTCAAATAGACCACCTGTATTTTATTACTGTACCTTACTCTATTTTTTGTTCTTCTTCTTCTAATATGGCGATGTCTCTCTTAAAAAAGTAAAAAATTGCAGTTTACAATCAACATTAAATATAGAAAATACGTAACAAATGAGGAAGAGAACAAAAAATTTAATAAGATGCGGAAACAAAACATAGGGGTTGTATTTTTTATAGACACTCTGTATACAATAATTTCATTTCAGTTCTACCACAACAAATCACTTCTCCACAAAATATTGTAAAACAGATATTAATTTGGCATTGACTTTTTCTGCTATTTCTAACAATGAATGAGATATCTAGAAACACGACCTTCCAAACACACATCTAATTCATAGGACCTTTGTTACTTTCAGGCAGCCAATTGGAGAGAAAGTGTAAATCATTATTACTATAATCCTAAGCAGTTTATTGGTGGATCCATCTTTCCATTTATGAAAAATATACTTGGTGTTCCATAAAAAAAATTGCCGTCATTTCCAGTTCTACCTCAAGTGATAATAAAAATGTGAGGTTGTCATGACATAGATCTTCTAAAATGATATCATTTGCTCAAAGAACTACAGGTTTATCTTGAAGAATATAAAAGTTACAGGGGTTGTATCAAATAAAAGAGACACCCTATATAATTCAATTGACGAAGAATTATTCTGTGGTGTAATATATGATGACTTAAAAATAAATTGCAAATTCATTGACGACATCAAAAGGAGAATTATTGAATATATTATTGTTAAACGTCATTGTCAGGAATTCTAGTCTGACCCTTTTTAGACTGAACATACGACCTGAATTTGTTAGGATTATTCATAAAATTGACCTCAACGTCATTTAAACATTTATTATGTGCCGCATTTATGCCTAGCTGTTGCAGACACGGTTTGATTTGAAATATATTAATTGGAAAAGTCTTGTTATTGACTATCGAAATTTTACAATAATAATAATATTAATAATAATTAATACGTACAAAGTACAATTTTGTCGCAGAATAATAATAAAGAAAACATTTTCTGAAAATTTTGAAACAAAGAAAGATTTTTTAAAGAAATTTAAAGACATGAATACGATCACTTTCATTGTTAGAATCAGTACTGTTTATGTATAGTACCATTAAAGAAAACAAGGAAACTTCCAATTGATCTTAACCTACAAAACCAAAAAAATTTAATGTAAAAAATATGAAAATAAAAAAAAATCGAAAAATTGTGGAAATTCATATACCGACTTGCTCCGAAAACCGCAAACTTTCTCGTTTAAAATGTATTGTGAGTTTTTTACCCTTTCAACTAAAACTAGAACATCGAATTATGAAAATAATGAAATTTGATTTTGAACGAAACTTCGGTCTGCAAAACCGACGACCGCTGCCAGCGAACTTTCACCAAAAACGTTGATCAGACTAGCACACTCACCCAGACTAGCTGCCGTCGCTGGCGAAGACTGCACCGGCGTGGCCGGCGCTGGCGACGGCCCCCTCGACGAGCTGACCGACTTGGGCCCGGTGGCGTGGGGCGTCGTGACCGATTCGGAGTTCGGCGTCGCCGATATTCGAGTCGTGTTGATATTGTTATTGACTTGTCCTTGACTCTGCTGCGTCATAGTCTGCGACTGGAGGCCGAAGGCCGACGGCGACGGCGCCGGCGCCAGCCGGCTCTTCATGATGTCGTTGAACTGCTGCGCCTGCTGCTGCGTGGAGCTGGCCGGCGACGCCTGCGGCAGGCTGACCGGCCCGTTGGAAGCGACGAACTGGTTCCCGGTGGACGTGGAGGGCGCCGCGCTGCCTGGACCCCCTTGGCCCATCGCGCCGAACGGCGACAGCCCCGGGTTGCTCGAGGCCGTCGGGCTCGGCCCCGGAAGCCCCACCACGTTGGGCTGCTGGTTGCTCTGCGGCGCGGCGGCGTTCTGCACGAACAGGCGGCCGCCGGCCTGGTTGAGCGCGCCGAGTCCGCCGAGGGCCGGCGAGCCGCTGCGGAGGCTCGGCTGCGCCTGCTGGGGAAGCGCGCCGACGCCGGGCGGCCGCGCCACCCCCGACGCGGCGCCCTGGAGCGCCGGCCGGATCTGCGGCGGCTGGTTGTGCAGCAGCTGCTGCTCCTTGCGCTTCTGGCGTTTCTCTTCGAGCTCCTTCTGGATTTTGTAGATCTTCTCGGCGAGGAGGTGGTAGTACTCGGAGCGGGAGTTGGCCATCTCGTACATGTCGCCCTCGACCTTGCGGGCGTACGCGACGAGGTTGTGCATGCGCTTGTCCAGCATGGCTTGGGGGTCGGGCGTGGGGAAAATCGCTTGTACTAGTTTGTGCACCAGGTGGTTTCTGAGATCGGGCGTGACTGACTGGTGCCACTCTTTGGTCCCTTGTACAGGTGAGGCCGTCACTTGGCCGGCTTGCAGGCCGCCGGGTCCCACCAGGCCTTGGCCCGCCGCGTCGTTCGTCAGTCCGAAGATCACGTTGGAGACGCTCTGCTGGAGATTCGCGGCGGTTTGGCTGACGCCTTGGTTTGTGTTCGAAGCGGAGTCGCTTCCGAGGGGCAGGCTGACGTTGGGGGCGGGCTGGACGCTCGACGGGGGCATGGCGCGGACGCCGAGGCTCGCGGCCATGTTGGGGCCGCCCGCGATTGGGAGTCTTATGCAGGATCGTTGCTGGCCCGCGTTCGGAATTAATCCGGTGGGGGTCGCACCGGCACCGGTCGTAGGACACTGGATGCCCAGGGCGTCGTACGCCCTTCGCATGTCCGTCGCCGATGGATTTATTGACTGAGTACTTTGAGGCGGGTTAGCAGTCGCTGCAAAAACGGAAATTATTGAAACACATGGATCAAAAATAAAGCTAAAGTGGGTTTACACCATGTGATTTACTTTCAAGAAAAATTATCTTGCATATAACTATCTTCAAATTCAACCCAAAAATGATAGTCTTATTGCATACGTAATTTTGTTTTCTCGATGTTCCATTATTGTTCAAACAGACCTTCCCTCGCCCCTGAAGTACAATAAAACAAATCCAGCTTTTTCAAAAAATTATAAAATTTGATTATGCGAATTTGATTTTTATTTATGAAAACCTTTAATAAATTAAAATAAGATATGCATACAGTGTCAAAGTAAATATATTCCGTTTCTTTGAAAAATTATAAAAATAAATTTTGCAATGTTTGTTTTGTAATAACCTCTATCAAATAAAAACCGTGGGGGATCAAATGGCAAACGGACATTGTAAAATAGATTTCAACGGGAAAATGGCCCCTCAACGACAATAATAAGTTTTAACTTCAAGTATTTATTTATACATTGGAAGAATGTTAGGTAGAAATTTGTTTGATTTAAATGAGTTTTGTTAGCTTATTAAATTTGACATTTCGGTCGCATCCAAATCATACCTAATAATTAAAAATCCCATCTGCTAAAAACAAATCGTATAATTTTTCGATAAACTGTATCACAAAAATAATACACAAATCACATAGTGTAACCCACTTTTGCGACCTTTATTTATCTATAGCCACTATTGTGATTCTGGAATTAATAATTATATTTTCAAAATAGTACTTAACGCGACCTTGAACAATTCGGTCCATTTTTGAGATTCTCTAAATATAAACATGGTACCACAAAAATTTCGGTGGCGCTGTCGATCAATTAACTAATTTAATTTTACTAACCATTTTGAAGAAACAAAAAAGTTTAACTTTGTGTGTTTACATCATAAAAATATTCTTCCATAAATATTCTCCTGGAGAGGTGGAACATCATCTTTTATTCAACAACCACAGAACTTTTCACATTACAAGTGCAAATATGTCTTTATTAAGATGCTATCGTGTTTTATTATTGCTCATTGAGCATTGTTATTTGCGCTATCTCAATACAAAATGAGTTCTTTAGTACGTCGGTTATTTATATTTACTTCCAGCCATAAATATAAATTTCTAAAATGCAATAAAACTTACAGATGTTAGTCACACCAACATTTCTATCTCAATACACATTTACATTGCAAGTGAAAAAATATTCTTCACCTCTATCATTATAGAAAAAAATTGACAGGTGCATGTCTTTCATTCCCTCAAGCAGAAATTACTCAAATATCGACTAAAAAACTTCGTGACTCAAGTATCGGCAAAGAGATTTTTCGCTATTTACAAAAATTTAGTTCAGTCGGAGCAAACTTCGCTTCAACTTTACTGTTCAATAATTAAAATGGAGCACTAATACTTTGTTTAGCTTTATTTTATGTCTGATTTTAATGAAATTCCATTAAAGTGGAACTAGCTGATTTCTATTGTTTAATAACACATTCATTAGTTTATTTATAAAAGTGACGATTAGGTCGACAAGATAATATACATAATTGGTTACTATGATAACTGCACATTATTGGACATAACTGTACATAATCTCTGATAATAACTAATGAAAATTATAAAAATTTCAAGTTAACTATAGACGAAGATTAACGTCCAACTATACTGACTTAAAACGGAATCTAGGTAATTCCTGTGTTTTCTGCGCTCAAAAATAATCGCGCTGTTTCGTTTTATTACTTTTTTATTTTCATTTTTGGTAATCGGGTTCTTGGAACAAAACCATGACGTTTTAGACAAAAACCATACAATTAAAACTCCCGACCTACTCCATCCCTCAACTTACCGTTCGGGTTATTATTTCGATTCTTGTCGGCCTGCTTCAGTGGCAAGCAGACCGGGCAGTCCATCTTCGTGCAATGTTTCCAATGGCTTATGATCTGTCTTGAGGAACTACAATGAGCTACTGAGCAGCTCTTTCCGGCGTTACACGTCGTCATGTGATTCAGTACGTTTTTCATCGTCTTGCAGTGGGGCAGATTGCACTGCCACACTTCACCATTCGCCTGCGACTCGCGTCTCTGGCACTTGTGCGCATGCAGTAACAACACCAGCTGTTGTTGGATCAGCTTGCGTTTTTCGGGGTCTGCTAGACAACGTAGTGTGAAGACAACATAAGACAAGACATGCACTACAGATCGATCCACCGGCCAACAAAGGCTACCATCCAGTTTCAATCAAACAATTTTGTGCTTTGTTAGTCGGTGCCTTCTTCGATCGACACTTACCCGTCGAGGATGGCGGCGGTCCCGTGCCCTGGTTCTGCGTCGCCGTCTGCGGGCCGGGCTGCGAGCCCGACGGCGCTCCGGACTGGGGCTGGGCGGGCGAGGGGGCGGGGAGCTGCGTGGGGGCCATGCCGCCCTCGCTGCTGGGGCCCGCGGGTCCCCCGAACCTCGTCTGAGGAAGTCCTAGTTTATTCCCGTGAGGTTGAGGAGTGGCCACACCCTGAGGTCCGGCGTTTGGATATGAATATGGAGTATTTCCAGGCATGCCCTGGCCGACGGCGCTGCTGAGTTGCATCATCCCCGGCGCCTGCATTCGCGTACCGAGGGGGTGGACGCCGTGGGGGCCCGGGGCTCGGGCGTTAAGGTGCCCGATTGGCACGCGGTTCAACATCGGGCCGTTCTGCATGGGCTAAACGAAGAAATTAGTGTGTTAGATCACGATTTCTTTACCACCATTCTAAATAAAATACTACCAGAAAATCAATCAATGTTTGTAACACTTCACCTTGCTACAAATTGGTCGTAGCAAGACTTGAAGTGATACGATTGCTCTGGCAAGATAAAGATTAAATTAAAAAACCATTAAGTCGGTTTTCAAACCCTGAAACCTTGCCCCATTTTTACATAAATAAAAATTCGAACCTGTTGAGGTACTGTATGATTTCCTGGATGATGGGGTTGGCCCGGTGCCATCATGTTCGTCGTGTTAGTTAACGGTTTGTTTACCGTACTGCTAACGACTAATCCTCCTCCGGCCATTCCCGCCATCGTGCTCATGCTACTGTTGGTCATAATCATATTACCACCAGCGCTATTGTTCATCCCTGAAACGAAAACTACCATTTAGCAATATGTCCAAATTCGCCAGCGTCGCTGATACAACGCCAAAATATACACTAAAACATCTTTATTTTATTTTCTAATCGGCACATGTTTTTCGTACCAAAAAAATCTTCAAAAATTGGATAAAAATAAACTAATTTTGAAATTTCATAAATTTTATCGTCTCGTTGTTGCAAATGTCAGTTTCTATAAATTTTTTCAATGTTTGCTGCTTGATAGATAGGCAACCAATAATTCAGTTCGAATGGCAGATTTGCTATCGACATCAAGGACACGCCAGCGACATCTTTTTTAAAACCAACTTGTACGATCTTTATAATCATGTTGCATAATAGCAAAAATTCCAACTGTAAAATTTAAAAATTGGCGGCAAAAATGCACAATTATTTTTTGTTTCTACATTTTTAAATATTTTTTTCTTATTTTAACACTCTTGTTCAAATAAAATCGAAAATAAAAAAAGCGAGAAAAAAATAAAAATATACATAGGGAAGATTATTTCTGAGAATTTTTTGAAGATTTTTAGGCAACTTTTCAAAATTCGGAATTTTTCAGTAAATCTATGATTTTTTTTATCGTTTTTCGAGCTTCCGAAATTAAATATTTAAAAAAATTCATTTTCAAACCGAATTTGCTCCGGGATCCTCAACACGTAGTTTTGCGAATCATTCGTCGAAATGTATTTTTTGGAGATTTCAAGACAATTTTTCAAAAATTTCTACTTTTTACTATCACCTGTATAAATTTTTTGACAGTTCTTCAAGCATCACTCGAAAATTAATTTTCTTGTAGATTTCAACCAGTAGAAATTATTTTTGGCTTCATTTTTTCGAAAATTACAACTATTTTTTCAGAATCCATAAAGTGAACAATGGTGATTTTCGAAATATGTATGTAAAAAAATTAATTCTAAAACGATTTTTTTCGAAAATCTTGGTACGGGACCACCATGAACAAGAGTTCTTTGATAATTTTTAGGCAACTGTCAAAAATCTCGATAAACCTCGTATGAGTTTTTTGACAGTTTTTTCAGTTCTCGAGATTAGATATATAAAAAAAAAAAAAAAACCATTTTATTCATTACATTTTTAAATATTTTTTTTATTATCACACTTTTGGTCAAATAAAAATGTTTTTTTCATAGAAAAATCTTTTAGTCCTAAAAACTAGAATTTTATACATACAGGGTGTTACTGAAAGGTACGTACAACAAAATGGACAGTTCTTCGCGAAGTCTAAGAAGTCGCAAAAACCTATTTTGTGTTATCAAAATTATAAGGGGAAAATTAACCCTTATCCAACCTTTTTAGACGCTACTGAAGGATAAATAGGTAAAATTAATTTATTTTAGTAAATCCTGGCAACTGTAACAATAAAACTTTTGTCAAGACTAAGTGTTACTATAGAAACGAATGATCTTTTTATCAGAGGCGTACAAGGAATTTGGACATAAATTTTAATAATTTTTATCTCTAAAAGGAGAACACTTTTACCTGAACTTTTTTTTAACTCTTAGCACCTATACTTCAAGACCAATTGCCGATTTTATTTTGTACGTACCTTTCAATAACAGGCTGTATATAGGATGTCATGTACTCTGAGAAACAAGTGAAATAGTAAAATTTTGCAAACGCCAATATTTTTAGCTTCATCATTTTTTACAAATACTGAATTTTGGCCGCCACTAAGTATACAGTATGTACCCGGATTGAGTTCATAAGACGAAAAAAAAAAAACTGTATTTTCAATTTTACAAAAAAATGACATAGGAATAACATTTTTTGCTTAATTCAAAACGAATAAATCTGCAATTAAAACTTCAATATTCCTGGTCTGTACTCTTAAAATTATTTTTTTCATATTTCTAAGTTATTCGTTACTTTTAGTTTTTTTTTCGATTTTAAAGACACAGCCTGCTAATATTAAAATTTTAATTGCAGATTTATTCGTTTTGAATTAAACAAAAAATGTTATTCCTATGTCATTTTTTTTGTAAAATAGAAAAGTTTTTTTTCATCTTGTGAACTCAATCCGGGGACATACTGTATATGAAATGTTTGTTTTAGATACAGAAATGTTAGAAAAAAAAATACAGCAAAGCAATGGATGATATTTTAAAATATAAAAGAATATAAAAAAATAATACATACGCTTAAAAATAAAACAAATTAAATAAATAAAAAAAAGATTATACGTTTTGTAAGTGAAGTTACGTGAAAGTTAATTCGGGGAAAAGGTATCCTATGAGTTCAGAACTGGAAATCAAAACCAAAAACAGAACCACAAATAGGTCAAATTTAACAAATGTAAACAGACATGAGATAATACTTCATTTTATTATACTATACTGTTGCTAAAATATAAATATTGCGACTTCAAAAAACGGAAAAGATAAGATTGGATATTGAATATGAGCAAAATGCATTAAAATTGAAACCGACTTTGTATGAAGAATGACAAAAATAATAATAAAAAAAAATAAATAAATAAAATGTGTAACTACTGTAGAGTACTACTAATGCTATTTAGACCAAAACTCGTCGACAACCTTCACCGTGGGGATTTTCGTCCATACTTCACGCCGTTTTGAAATCTGTATAAATTGCAGGGTTGTATTCAGGAAAATGTCGCCACTTCCTGTTACTTTTAAAGCCCTTCCGAGAAAATTAATCAATGTTTGTAACACTTCTCCTTGTTACAAATTGGTCATAACAAGACTAGAAGTGCTACGACTGCTCTGGCAAGATAAAGATTAAATTAAAAAACCATCAAGTAGGTTTTTCAACCCTGAAACCTTGCCCTATTTTTACAAACAAGAGTGTGAATCTTGTGAGGTACAATTATGATTTACGAGTATGCCATAAAGTGGATACGATCCTGTTCAGCCGTAGGCAACTGCTACATTCGACCAAGAGTGTATCATTTATTGTTTTACGAACCAATGGCTCGAGCTGATTAACTTTTGGGTTGCAGAATTTTATCACTACACAAAAACTGTTTTCACGACATTAAGTCATTTACTGAAAATACTCAAGACCTGAAGGATGAGCAATACCCTAGGAAGAAAGTTCAAGCAGCAAAACCCAACAAAAAAAAAATATTTGACAGTGGATTTTTTGAGGAAATTATAAACAAATCCTTAAAATTTATAACTTCACAATTATCTCACCTTGTATCGAACTCATAATCTGCGGCGAAGTCCCATTATTCGCCATCGACTGCAGCCCGGCATTATTCGAGATGCTCGACGGCAGGCTGCTCAGGTTCATTTCGACGACGTTCCCCTTCGCCACCGAGACGTTCGGCGGCGACTGCATATTGGGACTCTTGCTCCCCAGCTGTCCGCTGGCCATCGCCAAGGCGCTTCCTATCAAATTCTTATTGCCCTGTAACATGTTGAGCTGTATCTGTCTTAAACTGCTGCTGTTGTCGCCGCCGTCGATGCCGCCGTTCTGGAGCGTCCCGGGGCCGGGGCCGTGGGGCGGCGGCTTGCTGTTGCCCATGTTGTCCGACATGGTCCACGACGTCGGCGGCGTCATTAGCTCGTCGGGGAGGTCGTTCTCGAGATCGAACATGTCCATATTCGAAAGCACATCTGTGTAGACAAGGCAGAGTCAAAATAGGGGTTTTTGCGAAGAACGGACGAACTTGCTGGAGGCCCGATAAGCCGCCGGTTATCGCGGAATGCGAGATAGGGGATTATGTAACGGGGTTTCGCAATAGAGGCGATAAGTTTAAAAGGCATGCGACGAATGAGATTTGGATTTTTTTTAAGACACGCGGAGTACCGCGGTGCGTTTGGTGAGTGTCGTAGTGAAATGTTTGCAACAGTTCAACCCCGTTACAAATTGGAGTTGTAACGAGTACTGAAGTGTTACGGGTTCTTTAGCAAGGTAAAGATTAAATTAAAAAACCATGGAAGGGGTTTTCAAACCCTGAACCCTTGCACAACTTTGAATTTGTGTAAAAATTAGTGTCACTATCATCGTCTATGGGATGATGTCAGGCTAATAACGTTGCCTTGACTTGTGAAGTTCAAGTTGTGTATTTTAAAAATATTTACAAAGAGGATCAATTTTGAGACTTGAATATAGTTATCCAACGTTAATTTTGATAAGTGAAAAAATTACTACAAATATCAAAATTTCTCTAATACAATGCTGGCAACATCAAACTAATCTTACTTCAGGTATGCCCTTACATGAAATTAAAAATATAGTCAGACAAGAATTATCAAAAAGCTTTTAAAGGCACACCTATCAGTAATTTTTCTTTTTTTTTCTAATGATATATAGAAAAAGTAGGACAAATTCCAAAAAGTCTGTAATTTAATTTAGAACGACCAATTTTTTATTGACCTTGGCTCAAATTTAGTTCTGAACTTAGTACTATGGATACAAGAAATGGGTTCATGCCTGTGAAAAAAGAAGAGAAAAAATTGAGGAAAAACTTGTCAGTAAAGCTATGAAATCCTTACATTTTGTAAAAAGTATCTTGTAAAACTAACGTTTAATGAAAATTGTATTCAGACTCGAGAAAAAATAAACGAGAAAACAAAAAAAAGTTATAAACACAATATTTTTTCTCTTACAAAAAATGAAAATTGGATGTTGAGAGAGAAAAAATAATAATTTTAAAAATCCTTTTGTCGAAATATTCTTTTTTTTTCTAAACTACCATATTTTAATTCACTATTTTGGGTGATTTGAAATCGATTGGACCTTCATTTTTCAAAATAATTTTGGAGGTATCTTGTCTTTATCCATAATTTTTTTCATTTTATATAAATAATATATAAAAAATTAAAAATTGTTCAGGGTGAATCTGACTAAATTTTCAGTTTTTTTTTATCATCCATCTAAACGATATTTTGTTTTTGTAAGTGAACATCAAATTAACGTAAAGAATTTTTTAGTGATTTTTCTCGAACTTAGACTTGTGAATTTAATGATGTACCGTTGAGTTGGTGCCCCATTTAAAATGATTGTTACCAACTTTTGAGTGATTACAACCTTAACAGTCCAAAATTACAAAACAAAAAAAAAGGATAATTCTTTATTTCTTTTACTATAAAATTTTAGTATCTAATACAACTCGAAAGTATTCTGAAAAGGGCAAAATCTTGAAAGCAACAGCAAAGAAGTTTTTTTCAATTAATTTTTTAAATAACATGTATTTCCAAAAAAAAAAGTTGAATGACTTAAGTTTTACACAAAAAATAAATGTTAGTTACAAAACATATCAAACAAATGAATGTTCAAATAACAAAACTGATTAAGATGATCCACAATTAGAAAAAATATCAAAAAACGAGTGTTGTCATTTTCGTAATTTTCTACAGAACGTTTAACACAAGAAAACGACATTAAAAAAATTAATTTCATTGTATGTATGCATGTTCTAACGTAATTTGTTAAAAAATCTATTCCTTACATCTAAAGAAAGCAACATGCACAAACAATTGTACAGTTTTATGGTATTCAGAAATCTGATTGAAATTTTTTTATAAGGTTTGAAAGTAAAATTGTTTTCTATAACGTCCCGTTCTAAGGTTTGTTGAACATAAATATTATTTAAAAAAATTATAATAGAATTAAACACATTTTTTTACATGTTGTCAGCAAAGTATGACAGAACTGACATTCTGTTGCCATTTTCACGGTACACAAATCTTGTCTGTTTTATTATTTTCGGCATTTTTATTTTTTTTTTTATTTTATTTATTAAAAGAGCTAATACATTTCCTACAAATGTAAAAAAAATACTGAACTATATCAATAATTTAGTAATAAAATAAGAAATTGTGCATTTATTATTATCTAGAGAATATATCCAATCAGCCAAATTTTATCTTGATTGTTTTAATAATTATTACATTTGCATATTTTTACAATTATGTGGTTGTTACAGATCATGTATTTATTAATTTTGCAAGTTCCGAAGACAACTCTAAAGATCAAGCGAGATAGTGGCAAGGAATAGAACGATATAAACAAACTTTTAGTAAATAAAAACTGGAAGGTGAATAAACAATATTGAAAAAGTAAAAAAAAAATCAAGCAAAGCATCTTAAAATTGAGTTAAGTTTGTGTTCCTTTCTAAGCGTTTCCAGCTAGTTTTTGGCATATGGACGAGACTTGACGTGCAAAGGGCATCTCCAGCAAGTTCGTTCGATAACCTCAACTAAAAGCAACAAACATGAATTGAGACAAAGACAAAAAACTAAGTCGAAGCAACCAGCAGTGGTTACATCCAGTGTAAAGTGCATATGCTTCGGAACAACAATGAGGTTCAACTAAAACAAAGCACGTTCATGCTCTCTCGCCACACCAGGATTAGTAATTTTGTTGAGATTAGCGGGTTAGTCGGTTTCCTTTCGGAGGTGTTAGAGGTAGTTGTATTTACTTTGCTGGTGGCACAGGTTCCACTGCTGCTGAGCCGGATTGGAGACACCGCCACCCACTGCCGCCGCCAGGCCCTGCGTGGAGCCCAAGGGGTAGTTGTAAGCTAACAGTTAGGTATAAACAGATTACTCCATGTCTACCAGTGGTGAGGGTTAGCGTATGACAGAATGGGGGTTAGGGTGTAGGTTATGGCCGTGGTGTTTGTTTTGGAAGTGTCATGCAGCCGCGACAACAGTGGGCATGCGAGTGGGGTTATGGGGAGTCGTGGTTACCTGAGGAGTCCGAGGGCCCCTGGAAGGGGTCCAGCTTCTGCCGTTTGGCGCTCGGCGGCCCATCGACGAGATGGTCGGCCATGGCACTCGGCAGTCCTGTTCGCGAGAGCACTGCACTATTTACGCGTCGCGGCGGCGGCGAATCGCGAGAACGGGCGCCAAACAGTCCCTGCAGCCGGTGTCCGAGGGCCGACGCATCTCACAAGGCACATATTGGGGCAGTCACCCATCGGCCATCATGGACTCACTCTGACTGGCCGATCGCACTCGCGCTGCCTCTCACCATCTTCCGTCGGACGGCACAATGATCCGCTACACCACGCACCTGGGCACCCTCTTCTAACAAGCAACTGCGTCTCGCGACCACCACACCAGCATCAGACGCCGCGTCCGACCGAAAGACACCCCTTTGATTCACATACGACCCCACGGTTTGCGGAATTCATACGAAATTCAACGCGTTCTCAAACAGGCAAAATGGCGGCTGTTGATGAAACTTTTTCTACGCTTGTCAGAAATGTACCATCTATTACGGCGAAGCCGCGTCGTCATTGGCGGACGGCGCGCACGTGACCGTAGTTCGGCGCGGGATTGGTCGGCTGCTCCCGGAAAACACGACGTGACGCAGCGCTCGGCGTCACGAGTGACGTCACGCCGGAGTCGCCCGAACGGAGAACCTTGACGCTGAAAACAACTGAGACCAAATCGCGCACCAACAAAGCCGTGTTTTGACAGCAGGGCACCTTTATATAGCGGCCGGCAGAGATGGCGAGTAAATAAACATTGCGACATTTATTTCAAGATACCGGAACTTCCGGACCGGGAGGATGCGGCAAGTGCGAAACGCAGCTTTTTACGCTCTTCGCGGCGACGCTGGAAGATGGATGATAGCGGACGCGTGGAATGATACAGAACAATAACACCGGGGGGCGAACGCACAAGAAGTAGATCGAGAGCGAGACGGGCGGATTTTGCTCGAGTACTGCGAATGGCGGAGAAGATTTTTTCGACTGTGATAAGAAAAAGAATTAGTCACATCGTTTCACTTTTTTTTGCGATTTCTCAAAAAAAAAATCACAATTTGTTTCAAGTCGTAAAATAAAACAAAAATCAGAAATTATTTATTTTTTGTCTTCACTGAACTGCATAATCTAAAAAAAAATAATGTTTCCAGGCAGAAATACTTCCGCTATCAGAATTTACCTATATTTTCATACATTCATTATTTATTTCGGAATATCTAGCTTCAGTTCAGCGAAAACTTGCGCAATAAGACAAACACCTTGTTTGCGACAATTAATTGTTTAAACAAATTATAAAGTTTTAATTTATTATTCGAATGCAACTTCTATCTAGTGGATTTTATTAAAAAAAAAGGTTTTTTTTCTATTTTCCAGAGTAAAACTGACCCCCGAATTCATAATTAATTAACAACATTAATCTGATTTTGGTTTTTCTTATTCTTATTATGTTTAAACAGACGGTATTTGCTTTTATTGGTGAAAAGGGTCGGAGATCTCTCAACAAAAATACATTTTTTTATTTTAGATAGGCAACCAAGATTACACCCATTCAGTGAATTCTTTGCAATTATTATTTTTTGTACGGTTTCAACCTGTGGTTTCAACAAACATAGATTTTTTTTCATTCTACTTATTAACTGACCACTAAATCTTAAGCGCTATTGGTGAAATTAAAATCTCTCGCTGGGTAGAGTGGACTTGGACTCATTCCTAATAACCAGAGGACGGATTTTAGGTTGTGAAAAATTTAAAAATAGAACATTTAAGAATAGAAAAAAGGCTTATAAAAAAGACAAAATGGGCACTTTAAGCAATAACTTTTTTTTCATACATTTAACTAATTATTTCGATATTTTCCGGAGTAAAATTGGATCTTTTACATATAACATTTGGGGGAAATTCAGATCTTCAGAATGATTGATCCCTATCACAATTACTTGTCAATGTTAAAATCGAGTGTCGGATTGAGGACATGGGGGTAAGCCGGGGAATTTATAAAGTAGTGCCCTATGGTATTGTATAGATGTTGTGTGGGTATTATTTTTTTTTTCTTGGCGTCATTGGCGTTTTGGAAATTTTTTTGGAATTTTGAGGACTCTACCAAGAAAACAAAGCTAAAACAAATATGAAACATATTTAAAGCAGATGACTGATGCTGTATGTGCGTAACTTCGACTGTTTATGTTTATACTTCGACCGAATTCGACTACTAGCACAAACCTTAAAAATTGGGTGAAAAAACAAACAAACATTGATTTTTTTATTTTATAAATATCAATAAAAAACTTCAACGTCAAAACTGGCTAGTTTGCTAAAAAACATAGTAAAGTACCTTAACATAGATGAAAAACAGATTTTAAAAAGAGCTTAAATAGTGAAACGCACCATTTTACTTTATACTGATTTCAGTATAGAAATTTTATCTAAATGGTCCGATAATAATCTAATCTCGAATCATTCAGATGAGTATTAGATTTGAAATAATAATAAACAATGCTTTTGGAATCACCAAAAAAAATTGATGGGGGATTTATCATGCTTACGACAACCTAAAACGTGTCCAAAATTTCAGAGCAGTTTCAAAGTTCTAATTTTGATTTTTTTCTCCAAAAATCTGAATGTCTAGGATAAAAATTCAACAGGGGTTCATAAACCACATCTGCAGGAGTATCTAATTTTATAAAATTTAAATAATATTTACTACTGTTTAAATTTTAGAGATTACGTTAATAAATTGTTGGTAGGGATGATTAGCCAAATTTTGATAATTTACACGATATTTGTAATACACATATAAAATCTAACAACTGGTTCAGTAGTTTCGGAGACTATCTGTCTAATAAAAATCCGGACAGACGTCAGACAGACAGACAAACAGACGGAAACGGGTGACCTATTGTTTTGACTTGAGTTTACGCTCCGAAGAAATTTCTCGATGTTCCGTCGACATAATCAGACACTGTTAAAATCCACCATTCTTTAGTAGCAGTACTTTCATCTTATTGAAAGCAATTAATAAGCCAGATTTCCAGAAGTACCTTCCAGTGTTTTCAGCTATTTCCATTAATATCCATAATTTTATTCTTGTCCATTTTTACTTTATACTTTTTTTTTGGTATTTCGGGACTCGTGGACATAACAAATAAGAAGAACAGATGTCTTCTACGTCGACAGTTTCGCAGTTTATTTTACCGCTTTTTCAAGACGTTCAATTATAACTACCATTTGCGTCTTAACTTAAAAAGCGATGACATGTGAGAAATTTTACCAACCTAATTGACATCTCTTCTTCTTATTTGTTATGTCCACGAGTCCCGAAATACAAAAAAAAAAAAATAGTATTTCCATTAACTTGCTTCTACCTAGGTAGACCAACACTTTCAAGTTTTGTTATATTATTGGCAAAAAGACTAAATTTTGTGCTTTTTTACTTCCCGAGTGTAAGCGAAGGAAGTATTGTAATCGAGTCCGTCGGCGGACTCTCTAATTTTACGTTTCCTCGATCTTTCATGACCTCTAGAGTACGAAGAAATAGGTCTCCCGTTTCCGTCTGTCTGTCTGTCTGTCTGTCCGTCTGTCTGCCGTCCTGATTTTTATTAGACAGATAATCTCCAAAAGTACTGGGCCGATTGTTATCAAATTTTGTCTTTATATTAGGAATATAATGTACAATACTTAGATGGTAAAACGCTAACCAAAATTCTAATCTTCGCCACCAATAATGTGATGACATCAAAATGGGTTTTAAATTGTACAAAAATAACACAGTCCTACACATGTAGTTTATGACTCCGAATTGAGTTTTTACCCAAAACATCCAGATTTTTGGAAGAAAATTAAAATTATAAAACAACATTTTGCAATTTAATTTTGAATCTGCCAAACTGAATGCTTTGAAATCTTGCAGATGTTTAAAATTATAATAAGCATAATAAATGTTTAATCAAAATATATTTGCTTATCCCCTCCAAAAAATTGACGACGTTATCTCAAAATTGTGTCGAATAAATCCTATCTAAAATGTACAAAATATGTTCAGTGTGTGATTTATCACTGCATTCATAATTTTTAAATTTGCTTAAAAAGGGTGACTCAAAAACTGCAATTCTTTGAAATTTTGGAGATGTTTTAAAGTTATCATAAGCATGGTAAATTTTTTATCAAAATATGTTTGCTCATCCCCCCTAAAAAATTGATGACGTCACCTCAAAATAATACTGAATATCTTAAATGTGCGAAATATGATGAGTCTATAATTGTGATTTATTTTTAGTATATAATTAATATTTTTTAAATTTGCTTATACAGGGTGTCTCAGAAAAATTAATGACCGAGTTGTTAAAATATAAACATCCAATCAAATTTAGGAATTTAATTCGTTACTATGGAAATTTGCAATTTAACCCTTTTAAAGTGCTAGCCCCACCGACCGGCCCCCTATTTTCTCAGAGGATATATCATTTGCCAAAATAAGTCTTATCTTACCAAGTACTAGCCCCGCCCACCCGCCCTTTGTTTTCTCAGAGGATGTCATTGGCCAAAATAAGACTTATGTTAGCAAATACTAGGCCCGCCCACCCGCCCTCTATTTTCTCAGAGGGTATGACGTTTGCCAAAATCAGTCTTATCTGAGCAAGTACTAGCCCCGCCCGCCCGCCCGCCCGTATTTTCTCAGAGGATATGTCATTTGCCAAAATAAGACTTATCTTAGCAAGTATTAGCAGGTAGTACCCTCTGAGAAAATAGGAGGCGGGTGGATGGGGCTAGTACCTACTTGGTAAGATAAGACTTATTTCGGCAAACGACATCCTGTGGGAAAATGGGGGGCGGGTGGGCAGTCATAATATTTGTTAAGATAAAACTGATTTTGCCCCTACTAATCTTGCAAAAACTTGTGAAATTTAAAGATGTTAAATTGCAAATTTCCCTACTAACGAGTTAAATTCCTAAATCTACCCGAAATATGCAAAATATGAGGAGTTTTTACTTGGGATTTATCATTGCATTTATATTTTTGAGATTTGCTTATACAGGTGGCTCACAAAAATTAATGAATGTGTCAATTTATTTTATTGATTAAATCAGAAACAGCTCACTCCGTTTTGCCAGAAAATTTTGGGAATACAATACTGTTATTTTTAGTACTACATTGCACCAATCCTAGTTCATATGCGTGTCCTTGCAAAAATGTTGATGACAAAATTCTGTAAAATAAAAACTTAACTCAAAAATGCTGGATATATTTCACTATACTATAAGTGATGTGAATATGTAACAAATACGTTAATAAAATAAATCACTCATTGCCTTTTTGATTATAACAAGTTTTTTCTTGACCCCTTGGATGTTAGAAAAAATAACGTACCTATACAACAAATATCTAAAATTGTCTCCTCATCAAATTTTTCAAAGTACAAAAAGTAATTGTTAAAGTAATGAATAATTGAAAGGAATTACTTTTTTTTATAAATAATTTGTAATTGTAATGGAATATTTTTTAAAAGTAACTGTTCTAATCATTGGTTACTAAAAATGCAAAGTAAGTACGTAGCTACTACGATTTAATGTCTATCTCTTTCTATTTTGAATAAATTTTGCATAAAAAAAAAGTAAATACATATTTTGGTACGCCACTGGGTTCTGTCGAAAACAGATTACTTAGTTAAATGTTGAAGATTATTATCTTTACGGATATATAACAGTAAATTCGTTTGAGTTGTAGGTACTTATATGGTGGGTAATGATAGGGACGTTAACAGTTGAAGAAAGATTTACACCCGAAAAAGGCTTATGCTTGCTGTACGTACAGGGCCAGCCTATTATCTCTACACCAAATGAGCATTGACACAATATTCTGGTAATGGGATTATCCCAGGTACTCAACACAGGTACGGATTTGTCAGGCAGTGTTGTAAAACTATATAAACACTGATATATTTTCATTTAAAGCTGGTGTATTAGTTTTTTTTTAATTGCCTAATTTAATGTAATAGACAAATACGCACTAATACTAAAAATAAGCAATCAGGCAAAGACAAGTAGGGCTCAAATAAGAGAACTTGTTTTAGAAATGAAAAGACATCCGCTCTCTATATAAATTACATCTTCACACCGTAAAACAATAAAATATACATGCTCAACCAGACGGATAAAAATAAAAGGCACGAACACTTCAAAAAATATATTAAAAGCTCAATTTACACCGAGAGAATGCCAACATCCTTTCCATGGCGACGATGACATTATCAACTACTTTTTTTAAACAGAAAATTGTCTCCTAATTTTAAAACTTGTACGACGGCTCGATTCACCACCATACAACCCACATCCCTTTCCGACTCTTCATTCAGTTCGCCGACCCATGTTCGATGTTCGCGCTACATGTTCGCCTGCAGTTGGCAACACGCAGCGACATTCCACCAACATCAAAAACCCCAAATTTCCATACTAGCAGCTCGATACTCATTTGTTCGCCAGTTGTGTCGTACAAGTTTCCGAATCACCAACACAAAAAATGGTGGACCCTCATGCGGTCTCAGAGTGGACCTGCGACGAAGTTCTCCAGTTGATCACAGAATACGGAAAACGGCCGGCACTCTGGGACCCCGACTGCAAAGACTACAAGAACAGATTCATCAAGCACCAGATGTGGCTAGAACTGTCCGAGATATTCAAATACAGCAAGCTAGAAGTGGAACGCAAGATGAAAATTTTGAATTCGCAGTTTCGGCGGGAAAGACTGAAAGCTCTGAGGATGAGGAGGATGGGGAAGACTCACAAGATCACGTGGTATGGATACAGCGCGTTTTCTTTCATGAATAAGAACTTGGCGAGGTATAAAAATAAGAGCAAGGGGTTGATGATCAGGAGCGTTGTTAAACAAGAGGTAGTGGTGAGGACGGTTTTTAATTTTTATGACTGGGTGGTTTTAGGAAGATGTGGACAATTTTGTGCCATTGTTGAAGAAATTTAAACAGCGTTTGGATCAAGATGGTAACTCAGTTGAGAATCAAAATGTTGATTCTGGTTTAGTTGAGAATGCGGATGGAACAGTGGATGGGGATAAAGAACCTCAACAATTCACAGATGGGGTTTTTAGAAGTTTGCACGAAACCAAGGACGAGTGGGCGCTTTTTGGCGAACTGGTCGCTCATACCTTGCGGAAGTTACCTGATATGTCTAGATGCATCGCTAAACATAAAATAAATACAGTCTTGTATGAGGCTGAGCTCATCACGTACAATAGTTCTGATAAAACCGTTAAATAAAATAGCGTCTTAAAAGAGATATTTCATTTACATATTGTAGGCATCAACATGTATAATTCTTCAAAATTTCATTATACATACAAGTATATACATTGCTGTTAGCTGGTCAAATATGAACAAATAAAAACAAGAAAAGAACCAATTAACAAAGGTTTACTATCGCAAACGTTGCACATTTCAAATAGGTTGCGTTCGGGGCTGTGGGAACCCTACTTTACCCTGCTAAGTACTGGTGTTAAGACATTTGAAACGTATGACGTTCGTCTAAACCACGCCCCCTACACATCTAACTTAAAATTACCCAACACAAAAGATACAAATAATAAAAGTGTTCACTGTTACAATATTCAGGGGGACAATTTCAGGAAGGATCACAAGTAAATAAAATTGGAAGATACTTAAACATTACAAAATGCAAAGTGGAATTTAAAAGTTCGTTATCACTTACTTATGAAAATTTTAGCGTTACAATAAAATTTCATCGAAGCTCACATTCATTGATAAGTAACAATTACCAGAAAAAATGCAGTACAAATTACACGCTAATATACAAACCATCTTTAAAATATGTTAAAAAAGCCAACAAGATCATATAAAATTAAGGTTTCTTTACACAAGTAGAAGAGCACAAAGTCTTTCAGCCTTTCATTTAATCATCTTTGCTTTTTTCAGCATTCGCCGTTGGAGTCTCATCCTCTTCATCGTCGGAGTAGTTGGTCGGTTGCTCGCCTGGCTTCAGCAACTTCCCAACTAAATCGTACTTCTCTGAAAAATCACAATTAAGAATTATTATCAGAAGTCACACCTAAAAATAATCGAAAACTTGACCCTAACTAATGCAACTATGACTGAGTGTTAATTTAAAAATACTCATCATAGGTCATCCCGACTATATATAACTGTTCGTTATTGTTAGAATAGAGGTTGCGGTTTCGACCATATTTCTTAGATCAAGCATAATTTTTGCAACTGTTTTTACTTCAAAATCGTCAAATTCCGTAACAATCCTAGCGACTATACAAAAAACTAACTATTGCCCGACTTTACCCTATTTCTTTCACGAACTTAATGACTTTTTTCAACTCAAATATGGATATTTACGGTTCGATGACTATAGATTTCTCGTTTCCTTTACAACTTCTCGCAAAAAAGTTTTGAAAGGTTTCAATAAACCATCGTCTCGTATTGGATAATCCGGTTAGTGGTTTTATTTTTCAACCCCAATTCGGCTTGACTGACTAAGCAACAAAAGACTACACTAATGCATGAATAATCGAAATTAAACTTAAATGTGTGTGAAATTTCACAAACACTTGACACTACTTCTGCGTCAGCCATGTCAGATCTGAGTAAAAACAATACAACCACTGAACTTTTTTCATGAAACACCGTATATATTTTTTGATTGGATATTTGCAATTTGCTCACACAAAACAAAACCACATTTCTACCTAATTTTTTGAACAAAAAAATTGAACACAACACTAATGGCAGTATTGTTCTCCTGCAAAGTTCATTGAGTTGGTGTGTTTCATTACAACAATTATGCAAAACATAATAAACAAACAAACAAACAAACAAACAAAAAAGACCTTAACCTAACATACGTCAGAAGTGACAGTCTCCGCTATGTGTCGCCATCTAGGTGGCTAGTTTCCCTACATAAAGCCGAATAGCCACTTTTGACCTTTTAGTTACTTTCGACGCCATTTTCCTTATGAGGGCGCTAGTTACCTTTGAATGACAGTTCAAATTTGAATTTTCCTGATGCATACATATTTACATCGTGAGCCGAGGGTGGAGCTTAGTTTCAAAATCCTCATTTCTCTAGAAATTACCACGTGAAATATGTTCTTGAAAGAGTAAAATTTTGCAATTAAACTCCGCCGCTCGGTCTGACAGCGAATAAAAAAAATCATTACAATTGAGAAAGGGTGGGTGGGTGGGGCTTATATTTTGCCCTTTCTTCTTAACATACGCAGTCTTCTTTTCACAACAAGAAACTTAAAACATGTTCAAAATTTTTGTAGAGAAATATGTTTTTATTTTACTTTTAGGGAAAGATTTTGTGTATTAAAAAAAAAGTACGAAATATAAGCCCCGCCCGCCCACCCACCCCTCTCAATTGTGACTATTTTTTATTTATCGTGAGCCGAGGGCGGAGCTTAGTTTCAAAATCCTCATTTCTCTAGAAATTACCATGTGAAATATGTTCTTGAAAGAGTAAAATTTTGCAATTAAACTCCGCCGCTCGGTCTGACAGGGAATAAAAAAATCATTACAATTGAGAAAGGGTGGGTGGGTGGGGCTTATATTTTGCCCTTTCTTCTTAACATACGCAGTCTTCTTTTCACAACAAGAAACTTAAAACATCTTCAAAATTTTTGTAGAGAAATATGTTTTTAGTTTCTTTTTGGGAAAAGATTTTGTGTATTAAAAAAAAGTACGAAATATAAGCCCCGCCCACCCACCCACTCTCAATTGTGACTATTTTTTATTCATCGTGAGCCGAGGGCGGAGCTTAGTTTCAAAATCCACATTTCTCTACAAGAAATTACCATGTGAAATATGTTCTTGAAAAAGTAAAATTTTGCAATTAAACTCCGCCGCTCGGTCTGACAGCGAATAAAAAAATCATTACAATTGAGAAAGGGTGGGTGGGTGGGGTTTATATTTTGCCCTTTCTTCTTAACATACGTAGTCTTCTTTTCACAACAAGAAACTTAAAACATGTTCAAAATTTTTGTAGAGAAATATGTTTTTAGTTTCTTTTTGGGAAAAGATTTGTGTATTAAAAAAAAGTACGTAATATAAGCCCCGCCCACCCACCCTCTCTCAATTGTGACTATTTTTTATTCATCGTAAGCCGAGGGCGGAGCTTAGTTTCAAAAACCTCATTTCTCTACAAGAAATTACCATGTGAAATATGTGTTTGAAAGAGTAAAATTTTGCAATTAAACTCCGCTCTCGGTCCGACAGCGAATAAAAAAATTATTACAATTGAGAAAGGGTGGGTGGGTGGGGCTTACATTTTGTCCTTTCTTCTTAATATACGTAATCTTCTTTTCACAACAAGAAATTTAAAATATGTTCAAAAATTTTTGTAGAGAAATATGTTTTTATTTTACTTTTGGGAAAAGATTTTGTGTATTAAAAGAAAAGTATGTAATATAAGCCCCGCCCACCCACCCCCTCTCAATTGTGACTATTTTTTATTCATCGTAAGCCGAGGGCGGAGCTTAATTTTAAAATCCTCATTTCTCTACAAGAAATTACCATGTGAAATATGTTCTTGAAAGAGTAAAATTTTGCAATTAAACTCCGCCGCCCGGTCTGACAGCGAATAAAAAAATCATTACAATTGAGAAAGGGTGGGTGGGTGGGGCTTATATTTTGCCCTTTCTTCTTAACATACGTAGTCTTCTTTTCACAACAAGAAACTTAAAACATGTTCAAAAATTTTTGTAGAGAAATATGTTTTTATTTTACTTTTGGGAAAAGATTTTGTGTATCAAAAAAGAAGTACGAAATATAAGTCCCGCCCACCCACCCGCTCTCAATTGTGACGAAACAAGTTAACAACTGCTAAATTCCAGCTAATCTATTTGAGATTTGCGTATGTTGATAAATCGATCATTTTTGAAAAATTTAACCAAAATACGCAGGTTGGCCAACTGTTTAACTTCTGAGTAAATTTTCATTTTTATTTCACTACAATTTTTGTCGAGATGATGTGTAACGCGATCAGTGTGTAAGGTGTGTAAGCGACTAACCCAAACCATTTTCATCAATCAATAATCAACGAGAAACTTCATTAACAAACCAACACAGAACATCATAAACCAACAACTTCTTCTCTACAGTCAAATTGGTCACGTGTCAACGAGGGATAACTAGCGCCCTCATCAAAATGTGTCCAAATTTTGCATATCGTCCAATTTTGCTATTCCGCAGGCTTTATCAACCCAAGTATCGACGCAGGCATCTGAATTTTAACGAAAAATAAAAATAGCGTAAAGATTAAGTTTTTTTTTGTAATATATAAAAAAAAAATAACTACGTAAATGTCCAGAACAAACTCCTTATAACTATAGTGAACCAAGACCTATAAGGTTATATGGCCATCATAAAAGTAGTTGACCGCAAATAAATACCCCCTTTGTGTGGTTCGCACTAAGCTTACCGGTTGGCAATAAATCATCTTCTAAACATTTCTTGCTCATATTTAACAGGGCCGGCTTTCAAAGCGAGTGGTTATTTCGGAACCCTCAGCGGGTGCAGGTAGTAAAGAAATAGTGGAGTGGTGGATTTTCATATTTAGTGAAAGCCGCCCCTGAACGAAACCACAAGAGCCGGTCGAGCTGCAGTGGACACGTTATTTACGTCCCTAAAACCTTTTCTATTGTAAACAACTTAACTTCGACACAATGAGATGATTTTATGATGGCCATATAACCTTATAACTCTTGGTTCACTATAGTTCTGCCTTTAATATCATGTCGTTAAAAAATTAATTACAATTTATTACCAATTAAAATTTGTAAACTATGCAACCCACATTACACAAATTGCAACTATATTGCCAATATGACGGGGTTAAAAACCTCTCACTGTTACATTTTCAGGTAGCTGCAACGGCGGCTTCTTCAGCAGCAAATCCAGTGGGTCAAACCGCAAGGTCGTTTAATAAAATTTGGCTAATGCGTCCAGTATACCTCTATCCCTTACTCACTAACAGTATTTTAGTATTTCTATCTTTATCAAATTAAAATAAAAGCATCTGCTTATCAGTTATGAATATCCCTCGCTTTATTTTTACAATGCTAAATAAATGCAAAACAGGTTCATTTAAAAAGAAGCAATTCAAAGTTAATTATAATTGACGCGAATAAAGTAGCATTTTTATTCATGAACATCACAAGTCGCTTTACCGCTTCACCATAGCTCTTATGGCACCTCTATTTCTCCTTGATTTAACACTAAAACGCGCTAACAGGTTTCTACCAGCCCCCACAACACTAAGTTCGTCGTGGATTTTAAAAACGAAAAATTAATATCGTCTCCCTTAATTACTCCGCATTTAATAAAACTTCTACATCACGTATTTGCTCTGATAACTTATCAGCTTATGCAATGACCACGAACCACTTACCTTTGAACTGCGCCTCCCATTCCCTCACAGAATCCATCTCCATGGTATTCAAATCGCTCAGATCGTCGTACTCATCCGTCTTGGCGGACACCGAGAACGTGGCGAGGCCTCTGGAGGCGTCCCGCCCGCCAAACGCCGCATACGGCCCCCCTAAATTGCATGTTCATGACATCATCATGATGGCTACTTTTCTACTCACCGGGTCCGTAGAACCTCTTGCCCTTGGTGACATCGTATACGTTGCCGTTGACAGCTACCAGAACCCTTCCGTCCTCTTGAGTACCGTCGTATTTCTTCAGTTCTTCTACCGTAAAGTCCCTTTTCTTCAGTTTCGGCAACTCGGGCTCAGAGGCTTTGGAAGTAGGCACATCCTGGCGGCTTTTCAATATTTTATACACTAAGAATCCGATCAAACACACTAATGCAACGTTCAGGGGACTCTGTACGATTTCTAACACTATATTTGTTAAGAAACCATCGGATTTCGCTTCATTTTCGGCCATGTTGACTTGTGTGAATGCTTGACTTGACAACTTCGTCGTTTGTTGTGCTGCCGTTATGGTGGCAGCACTGCGCCAAAACATTACGAGGGAGGTCAAGGTTAGGGCAAATGGGGGCATTTTAATTATACTTTTTTTATGCATTTCATGTTTGTTTGAATTATGGGAATGGGGTCGTTACACAGCGCTTTTTTTCTTCCGGTGGAGGTTCAACAGCTTCGACCCACTTAGTTTGTTGGTGGATTTAGTGGAAAAATATACTCCGACGCTCCTTAGGACTTGGCTGTCTAGTATTAGATAACTACCCTTCAAAATAATCGACTTCCTGTCTGATTTAATTAGGAAATCAATCATTGTCTTATCAATTTTCATTAAGGCGACTGTATTTTTAAACTAATCTAAATAGGTGGCGCTACAATCAGTACAGTCGACGTCAGAATGAAATTTCTGTGACAAATTAAGGTTATTAAATAAACAAAAAAAGCGCATTGTGCATTTTGATTGGACACAATGCACTGCGCATGCGCACTTTGTACCAAACAGCACCAAGCAACTTTTTAAATTCATTTTAACATTTTTAAGCGAATATAGTTGTCGAGAAAAACAATCTAGTAGAAAAATTTTTATTTATACACTTAAACAGTATGTTAGTCTTCATCCGACGACGACGCCTCTTCAGCCTCCTCCAACCAATCAGTGAACGGCTTAACCTGTGCATAAAAACGGCTCTTCGCATCTAGAGTTTTCGACCACTCCAAAATGACATCTTCACTGATGTAATCCTTATCATAAAACCACTTTAAAACAAACATAACCCACTTTTCGTTTACGTTTTCATTCGAGATTGCTACATCCTACAAGAACTTATAATTACCCCTAATCACAGTTACGTCGCACTCACCTCTACTGCTTGCAGAGTATCCAACATGGCGTCGTCGTTACGTATGTAGTTCTTCAGGACTGGAGCAAAGTATGACAGCAAACGAACAAACTGAGAGAAATACTGAGGTCCAGTAGAGAGCCTCAACGACATATGCAAAATAGCTTTTATTACGTTGAAATTCACCTAGAAATCGAGTTTTTTAGCGACAGCTCGACGCACCTAGACGAGCTTTTGAACATCAATTACCTCTCTCACTGTTACGTTATACGCATAACGCGACGAATTTATTTCGAGAATCAGGTGCTCGCACCGTAATTCATCTTCAAAACCTCGAGTCAAGCTGTCTATTACTTCAGTAAAGAACACTGGAAGACGAGTTAGCGGAATTGTGCTGGTGGTGGTTACGTTTCGGACTTACGTTTCGTATCATCAGGAACCGGAGACTGCGTGTAGGAGAGTTCTTCGTCCTCGCTGTCTGAAAATGCGTCGTCGTCGGATTCTTCCGGTCGGTTGTCTTCAATGTGGAGTCTGGAGAGTTTTTTCGATAAAATCTTGCCTAAGTCGTCTTCGGTACCAGTGACTTTTAATCTAAAGGCTTTTTTGTCTAGTTTGTCTTTAGGGTCACCTTCAAACAACGAAATTCGTCGAAAAATTAGGGTTGACAAATTCATATACTTACAATTTTCGGGTTCTGTGGCTTGAACAAGAGTATCTTCAATCAGGTGCTCTTTTTCTAAGGTGACACCCTTACCAATAATACTACCAACTGTAATTTTAGTTTTTGATTTAATTTCGCAATTTGGCCCTATTACGCTATGAGTGACAATAACGCCATCATTAATTTTCGTATTAGAGAAAATAAAACTATCCCGAATTTGTACATTTTCACCTATGTGGACATTATCACCTATGACGCTATTAATAATATTTTTATTATCTTTAATGTGAACACCTTTTCCAACAATAACACCATTTTTTAGTATGTTATTTCTAAGAACTGATGGTTGTAGAGGGTAGATCCATTTGTTTTGCAACTCCCGACTGAAAGTAAAAATCAGTGGTGCCCAAAATTTTCGTTTTATTTACCTCACGGCTTGGTACATGCGCCAGTCGGTGACCGCGCCCCCATAATTATTACCCTTAGTAATATGGCAGTACACCGTACTGCCGAGAATTTCCTCATTCATTAACAACCCTTTAACAAAATCGTCTTTTGTTTGAAAATCAAAATTATCAGAAAATAGGGGTAGTACTGAAGGAGAGCAAATAGCTATATGTGTGTCTTTCAAATTATGGTGTAGCGACACGCTGGAATTATCTAGAAATATTTCCTAAACAAACAAAATTGAGAAAAATTGCGTTAAAAAAATCGTCCAACTTACTAAAGGAAATTCTATTTTTCTCTCTCTTGACTGACCCATTTTTCTGTGGAACAAAATCCGATTGCTACTATTTACAGCTACCACGGCTTCTTCATTAGGGTCACGGCCCATCTGCCCAATCCCTGACTCTTGAAAAATAAGCGTCATGGCAGCCCCCTTATCCTTATTGGCAATCTCGCTACAATTACTCATAACTAAATTTACACAACATGACTTCACCACCTACTTATGTTTACGTATAATTGGCAACAATTTTATATTAGAGAGAGTTCCAGGTTCCAACAAGACAAAACTACCCCGTAAAATCCCCTTTCTATCTAAATCTCTGAGACAGTCCCCAAATGAGTGGCAGCTCTCTGACACTATGACGTTCACCTTCATTGTTAAGCTCCATTCAGCCCCGTCTTTAATACCTTGGCTAAAAAAAATCGTGACAGTACTTAAGTAGGTGACACACTTCTACTGACTTAATGTGAGACTTTATGGCTTCTGTATGGGAGCAACAGAACAAGAAAGTCTCCTCGATTCCTCCAAACGACAAGAATTCTAACGTGTAGTCAATCAAAGGCTTGTTAATTAGGGGGAAGAGAGCCTAAAAAGGGTGTGCTAAGATTGCATCATCTTCTATTTTTAACACAAACCAGAGGAATATCGGACGAAATCGGTAAGAATTCGTCGCCAAAAGTGTCCGCCACCACCACGGCTTGGACGATGTCGTCTTTGAGGACTTCTTTCGTTTTTATAGACATTTTTTTTCAAATTTAATTTTGAGGTTAGCTACCACCATATGTCACAGACACTAAACACAACAAGGCGAAAGGTTGGCACCACTGTGACAATAAAAAGTCACTATTTCTCACACAAGAAATACGAAATCGACAAAATTTACACAATAAGTAATAACAGAAGACAAATTATAACAGTTGTATTTGTTCAGAATTAAAAAAGATGTCACAGGGCTCCATGTCAAACTTTTCCCGCGAAATTTAAAATCCGAAAATTTGCAACTTTTTTATTTTTAAATAATTACATTTATGCAGTATTTGTCTCAACAACCACCTGGTGAACCTTTCTGTGGGCCGCCAACTGCCCACTCTGGACGTACCTCTTCCCACAAACCCCACAAACGTAGGGTCTTTCCCCTGTATGGATCCTCATATGGCACTTCAAAGTTCTAGGGTCCCCAAACGCCTTATTACACACTGAGCAAAAATGATTCTTAACACCTAAGTGCGTTCGCTTATGTGCTGCTAAATTACTAGAGGTATGATACCTTTTTGAACATAAATCACAACTGTATGGCTTTTCACCTGAAACAACAACATAAAACCAAAATTACCAAAATTATTCAAATACCTGTATGAGATCTCATATGTATTTGAAGATCAGCGGCCCTTCCAGTGCGTTTACCGCAAACGCTACACTGAAATTTCTTCTCACCAGTGTGGGTTTTAATATGAGTGACTAAGCCACACTTGCTTACAAAGCTTTTAGGGCACATTTCACACTTATAGGGTCTTTCTTGCGTATGAGTTCTCTTATGGATGGTTAAGTAGGAAGAAGTGGCAAATGCGGCTTTACACAAACTACAAGAATACGGTTTCTCGCCAGTGTGGACCCTTTTATGCGCTTTAAGTACAAAAGAGTGCGCAAACTTTTTTCCACAGACGTCGCATTCATGTTTTTTTTCTCCAGTGTGAATTTTATTGTGGGCGAGAAGACCATGAGGGTCTGCAAAACACTTACCACACTTTGTACAAATTAACGGTTTTTCTCCTGTGTGAGTTCTCATGTGAACCTTTAAATTTGACTTAAGTGGTTGACACAATAATAGTTATTACTCACGTTGAGATGCGCTGGTTCATAGAACCTTTTACCACAAGTTACACACAAATGTTTTCTTTCGCCCCCATGTGTGCGCATGTGCTTTCGCAAACTCGTGGTCAAAGTGAACGATTTCTTGCACTTGGGGCACGAAAAGGGGCGATAATTGGCGTGGGAGCGCACGTGCCATTCAAACGCTGTCATCACTGAAAAAAAAAAAATTGTAAGATTTTTATTGAGGGTGAAAGTGAAGACTTACAAGTGAATTCTTTTCCACACACCTTACACTTGAACTGTAATTTTCTCCCATGTTTGATTAAATGGGTTCTGAGGGCACTTTCAAGCTTAAAAGTCCGATCACACATGTCACATTTCAGTGGACCTATATCTGTCTCCTCTTCTTTGACATCACTCTGTACGTTATTACTTATCTCACTAACTGGAACGGGCGGCTCTGGATTACCCTCATTCGTAAGAGTAATCACTTTACTGTTTTGGCACTGTAATGAATCAGTAGACTCATTTTTTAATTCGATAAATGTAGAAATACTGTCTCCTAACACCGTCACAGTCTTGTACTCTTCGTAAATCTCTGGCGGTGGACACAAGATTCGGCGTAGCTGCGCCTCAGACTTTTGGCACTGCTCTTTAAACGTAACAAACAAATTTAACGTGAAAATGCAGTCGTTGCAGATAACACTCGGCAAACCGTCGTCTTTTCTAACCTACAATGTAAAATTTAGCGTTACAAAGCGACTCCCGGGGCTATTTACGTTGATTTCTGCTAAATTTAAAAGTATAATGTCAAGCGAATTTTCAAACAGCGAACACAAATCTTCGCTGTTTTTTTCGGTTAAACAGGTGCGACACACCCGACTGAGTTCTGTTATGAACTTAATGGGGGCTGCTTCTGACATGTTTGCAGCCGTGAGCCCCCTAGTTGGGTTGTTTATGTTTGATAACTGTCAATCAGGTGTCAGATGAAATGTTACTTTGACAGTTGGCGGACGATTGCAGCATAAAGATAGGTTTACACGCGTACGTACGACTTAAATAAAATTTTGTAAGGTAAGAACACCTTACCGCGATATTTGACCATAATTGGCCATAAGAAAACCTTAAGAGGTAAATTTCCTTAAGGTTTGAATACCGGTTTCATAAGCGAACCGATTTATAGCTTATGTCATATGTGAATAAGGCGTATTGTAGAAAAAGTAGCGTAACGCAGCGTAAAAGTTATACAATTAGTGTGTATTGTGCGTTGCCTCATATTCATTTTCATCATTATACCAGATTATAATTACTAAAAAATTAAGTAATTATGTAACAAACTCAACCAAAAATTAAATTATAGGTTTATAAATAATGTAGTCAAACTTTTCTGACGAAATTACGTGTTAAGCACGCTGAATATTAAACAAAAGCCTTACGTAGATGACGAACATGCAGCCTTTATTAATAGACATTTGTTAGAGACTTTGCGTGATTAAAGTAATTTCATACTAATTTATAATTATGTTAATCTTCCTCCAGGTACGTTTATTTCGATACTCTGTTTACATGTTTTTATTATTTTTTGCAACATAATATACAGTGTGTTTCGTTTCAAGCAATGATACCAACAATTTTTCAGCGCTGTAGATGCTTTATTCAAATTTAACATTGCAGCTATTTTAGTGAGGTGCAGTGTTTCATTTCACTTGCATTGAGATTTGTTCTTGCATCAAGGTTGTTAGTTTTTACCAAGAGTCGGTTAACATTTAACGGCACATTTCCTTTGAGATTGATGTTCAGACAATTCAAATCTAGTAACAATGTAAAGGAAGTGTTACAAAGTCAATTTCATCGCTCCATTGAGAATGACAAAGATAAACACAATACAATTTTCACCTTAGCTACTTTCACACAAGGTAAATCACAGAGACATAAACACTACAACTCCTTCACAAATTACAGAAAACAAATTATCCGAAGCTTATTAAGTATACCAGTCGCTGACGTACCTAAAACCTGTTAATTTGTTACTCGACATCGATTTTCTTATGGAGCAACAAACTGTAGCAACATGAGAAGCTAAATTTTGTAAGCTGGACTTTACATCGAGTTAGTAATAAACGTTTTATTGATAGTGATAATTGATTACATATATACAATATTGGAAATTTTCTAGTTACGCCACTGGCAGAAAGCGGAATTTCAGCGATCTAAAATTTTGCGAAACTAAATTTAAACCCGAAACTCGTAATGTCCCCTGTGTTCCATCACAGTGACACACGTGTTCTGGAAAAAACTACAATGAAACGAATAAACCAGTTTTGGTACCTAAATACATCACCAATATTTAAAATATTTAAATAACTACATAATTATGCAAATTTAATTGACATTGCACCATCTACAACGAGATTTATGTCTAGTATAAAGACTAATTCTCAAGTTTAAAATGCAATTTTTTGCGGTTTGTATTTTTGCCTAATTAAAATGACAATGAAGTTTTATAAGAACGTTACTTATTTTTAATTTTACGGTTCGTTAATTCGCTTTGTTCTGAGAAAACTATATATATCTTATGTATTCCAGATTAATAATGAGTTAGTAATGTTTTGATTCACTCTTATTGGAAGATAAGGTTTGTACCTACAATTCGACAAAAAACGGGTTTTCCGTGGTGGTTATTAGAACAGGAACGGTAGTAAAATGCCACTGATAAAACCTACCTGTGACTCACATAAAGAGTTTAAAATAAATATTTACAGATTATAACTTAAGCCGACGAAGATGAGGTTAGTAGCGGTAAAGGAAGGAAATCCGCACGCGTAAAAACGTTTTGATATCCATTTTTTTGGGGTTTGAGCGACCACGGTCCGGAAGATAAATAAAAATTAGATAAAAGTAGAGCTTTTACTTAAATAAAAAGATGTTAATTGTTTAAATATGAATAACATAAGTCGTTGTTCTAAAATCATTTTGAAAACAGTGTAGGAATTTTTCTAATTAGTTTGCATTGGATTATTAATTCCGACATTGAAATTTAAATAAGTGCTTCGAAATGTTAAAATACTTAATTAAAGCATTACTATAATAATGGAGAGATTTATACATGTATATCATTTTAAAGTGATTTATTACATGGTATCTATGGTTATTTTATCTTATAAAATTAAGCCTCGGAATTTAAATTTTAGTTTTATTTTTTTTTAACGAAAAAAAAAATGAGCACATTTATGCTATGAATATTAAGCCGGTTGAACTTGTTTCGATTTTCTTTCCACTTGTTCGTCTGAAGAAACCGAAGACATGTATTTTTAACACCAATTATCGTACAAAAATGGATTTGAATTTGAAATTTGACAAGTTTTTTGAGAAATTAATTAACAGATTTGTAAAACAATAACACCTTTTAATTAACACCACATTAATTAAAATTAATTGATTCATCTCCGTCACAAAGTGGATGACGTCAGCTTCAAAACAATTACATATATATCTTTAAAGAAAGGTATCATCACTTCGTATAAATCATCTCATATTTTTTACCATATTATCTAGGAGTTGAACTTGACACAAGATAGTGTATATGATAATGAAATTTTATAAAGAAACTAGTTATTTAAATGTGTAAAAACTGCATTTCATTTGTCCGTTTAACATTTTATTGAACTTTTAATTTAGAAAAAAAAATGTTTACTTATGTTAATGAATGCCTTATTGATTTTATGATCTTGTATATACAATTCTAAGTCAATGAATATTAATACATATAAATATGAAAATATATCGCTGAGAAAATTCTAACAAAAGCCGGGGTTTAGTATACTATACTGATTCTCAAGTACTTGGTTTTTCTGAGTAATAGTTTCCATGATAACTACACTTTTTCTTTAAATAATTACCATATTTAAAAATTCACCGTTCCTCCATTTTTCATTTGTAATTTTAATGACCGTAAACATAAATCGTGTGTTGGAAACCAGTGATAATCTGTATTCAGAGTACTTTGATGTATAGCATTACCCTAAAAGTTGTTAGCTTGGTTTGTGTCAACCGTCTACATGTACATATAATCGGGTCGTATAATATCATCATTATAATATTACGCAACTTTTTAAAATTTATTTCAAACGTGTTTCTGAATTTGTATTCACCGCTTACGTGCTAAATGAATGACTTTACTGTGTTTTAATACTTTTATCCTTTATTTTCTTGCATATTTTGTTGAGTGCACCACATAAAGAATGCAAAACTCTCATTCTTACTTTCTTGGAATTTACCATAATCGTGCAGCACATTAGTGACTCAAGGGATTACCGTGAATCTAAATATCTAAATCTAAATTCCAGATTTGGAAGTACATGGACAGAATCAACAGATTTCTTCTTTTTAATAACTGTTTTTTTTTTTTCAGAAATAAACGGACCACTTTTTTGGCGGACTTTGGTTGTCATAATTAAAACCGCTTTGGCGTATGCTGAATTTAATGAATTTTAATGTGTTGAGGTGTCGCCGAATGTTAAATAAAATTATTAAAATTTTGTTCAAAATGGTGCTTTCAGTGTAGTGATTACACAAAATATTAAAAGAAAATAAAAGAAAATGTCGAATTTAAAATTTCGTGTAAAATAATTGCTGCGCTCGGACTTGATATGTATACATATGAATAAAACGTAACTGGTTTAATTTTAAATTTAAATTAATAATTGTTCACTGAAATAAAACAATTTCAAATATTGTAATTCTTGACCTTTCGTTACAAATATGTGATTTTAGAAAAAATTACCTCGCAGATAATTTTAAAATCGATTTTTCTCTGTAACTCCGGCTTGCAGCTCCCGCAGGTCCGGGCTTTCAAGGATAAATCTCCGGAAGCTAATAAATAATAATAACGCCTTAGGCACTTAACCAATGAAGTGCCGAACTGAATATTTATCGAGAGGAAAAGATCGTTCGTCGATAACAAAAAACCCAAACCTTTCCGTCAAACCAAAATCGCCAAAGTGGACTAAAACGTGACCGACATCTGCAAGGCGAGTCACCACCTGTCATTGATGATCACATTCAAAACACTAATTACCATAAATTACATAATGCATCAGTACGCACCTGAAAAGTGGCAAACTACGCGAATTTCTCTTACGAAAGAGGCGAGATTGACGTCAGTCGAAGAAATTTCTCCCCAGATCCATCCCGAAAAATGGAAAAATCCCGTTTCTCGTGCGGGAAATCACCGCTTCCTTCCTCTCTTCCGAGAAACGCGTACCCAATGCGAAGAAAAGCCGCAAACGCGTTTACGGTAAGCTGATTTTCCACTCGCTGGCGATTCCAATGACGTAGATCGCGGAGAGTGATTGTGATTTTGAAACGAACCCCACTCCGCTCCCGAGAAGTATAAAACAAATTTTCCGCAAGATTAAGCATTTAAACACATTTCGAAAGCCGGGCACTCCAGAGGTACCCCTGTTGCTGAAACGATAACAAAGTGAAGATGTTTTATCAGTTCGTGGTGTTGTTGGTTCTTGGTGCTGTCGCCGCACAGAAGAAGCCCAACATCATCGTAATCGTTGCAGACGACATGGTAAGCTAACTTTGATAATTTTTGTGTTGAAGCGGTCACGCGGCAGCTATTTGGAAAAAAACTGGCAGCGGTCATTTATGACTGCATCCGTCTGAGAGAACGGAGGCGAAAGGTCAAACAAAAAATCGAAGTCTCAATTAGAAAGAAAGTCCAGGGTTGGACCCTCCCTTTTCTTCTCTTTGTTAGTCACTGCGAAACAATCGGGTTTTTCTTATTTAGACATTCCTTCTTCAATGAAACTGGTTCATTCTTCACCTTGAAAGTGCGCTCATGCTCAAGTGACATTCAGGATTTACATAATTGAGACACTTCCAATTAAAAGTCAACGAACCGCCGGTACTGTATGAATTCGGCTGCACTTGGACCCATTTCAGGGTCGGCGCAGGACCACTGCAAACTCTAAATCCTAAATCAAACCCCAAGGTTTCCCAACACGAATCTTATTGTTCTTAATTGGTTTCTCCTTCCAGGGGTTCAACGATGTAGGTTTTCACGGTAGCAACGAGATCCCCACCCCCAACATAGACGCGTTGGCCTACAACGGGGTGATCATGAACAGCCACTACACCCAGGCCCTTTGCACACCCTCCAGATCGGCGTTCCTCACCGGGAAGTACCCCATCCACCTTGGTAAGTACCAATCAAGTTTAAGGTGAAGACCGAGTTTCTTCAATATCAAGGTTTGCGGAACCGTCGGGGTTAATTATGTTACATAATTAGAATTTCACACAAAGGCACCGCGAAATTTGATCACAATTGCGGCAAAAAATGCCCTTGAATGTGCACATTTCGAGTAATTAAATGCTTTATCATTTTCGTTTAATATTGTCGTGGTCAACCGAAAAGTCTTTGTGTGGGGCTTATGTAACCGACTTTGTTAATTGTTACACGGGCCATCTATTAATATTTGGGAAAAAACAGGAAATTGAAGCAGAACCAAGGTTGCGGTTGGAACTATTCCACTCTTCCGAAGTGATTACTAAGTTTTTGCTTAAGAGGTTTCCACGGTTGTTAGAGAAAATCATTAACGAAAATTGAGAATAATAGCGAAAGTATTTTTGTGTCAATCTTAAGAGCTGTAATTTTCAAATGAGCTGCATTAAGAGTTGTGACGTCATGGCCTACATTCGGCGCAAGCTGTGTTTACACAGCACGTAAAAATGCACCTCAGCAACAAGTATGAGTTGAGTTTCAATTACTACAGAATTTTAATTTAAAATGAGCAAAAATTAAAAGATAATAAATAGTAGTCTATAATAATAGCACATTTGTGGTGTACGCTATTACTGGAATAGCCACAGCGGAAATATTTTATCCCGATGGTGATTTAATTAAGAATATTCACAGAAATTCAAATCGTGGGGATTTATATTGGTTACTTTATTTATGTTCTTAGTCAACTTTGACTTGGAGCTAGTTTTAGCTAAATAATAATATCCCCTAAAACGTCAAGTCAGTGTGACAATACATGTCCATTTACAGTTTTAATCTTATTTAATTCCTAAAATATTCCAAATTAAGTGGTTTCGAAATTTTATTTGTTTGTTCTTGAGGAAAAGTAAAAAATCTGTTTCTTGATTCATAATAGTAAATTATTCTATTTTTAAACGCAATAAAATAATTCCTTAGCATATTGTTAATGAATTTTTTTGTATGCAAGTTGGCTGTGATTTTTCGCTCCATTCTGATGATGGACACGATTAATTAGTCACAAATCATTAACCATGTCAAATTTATGCGGCGCGACTCTACAAAGTGTCTAAATTATTGGCTTAAAATATACATTAACATACTTTTCAAGGTAGTTGTGGATTGTTTTTTATTAAAGGTGTACCAATACTGTAATTTATAAGAAGTTTTTATTCGACTGAATTATTTCGTTAATTGCAATGTTTTACGACATATTTACTAAATAGTTCTGCATATAAAGAGTTGGTACGCTTTTTTTTTACAACTGTAGGTTTTGCATTGTCACAAAACGTTTCATATATGACCCGCAGGTCAAGAGAATTGCGGTACTTTTTAATGCACCAATAGATAAACACACAAGTACGTCAGCTAGTGACTTTCTATTACATTTTTAACGACCAACGAGTAGATGAACTTACGTCGTATCCAACTGGGGCATGACGTCAAGAGTTATTTAATGAATTATGGCCATTACGTTTTTTGGTTAGCTAAACCCCATCAAGCGGCTCTAATTTTCCGCTTTTCTAGGAATGCAACATCTGGTCATTCTCGAACCCGAGCCGTGGGGATTACCACTAAACGAGACTCTTTTACCGCAACATCTGAAGAGAAACGGCTATGTGACACACGCTATAGGCAAATGGCATCTCGGTTTCTTCAAAAAAGAGTACACCCCGACCTACAGAGGGTTCGACAGCCATTTCGGCTACTGGCAAGGCCTACAAGACTACTATAAACACACAGTGCGAGCCACGGTAAGTGAATAACCACGTAAAAAATGAGTGGCATGGGTTTTTTTTACTACCTTAACCCCGTCTGCGGTTGCTGATGGATCAGGACCGGTTCCACGGGATTTCCCTCCTCTTTCTTGACGTACTTCCCAGCTCATCAACTTTCTTTCTTTCTTTTAGTACACACCGGAATACGGGTACGACATGCGGCGTAACATGACGGTAGATTGGAGTGCCCAAGGCAAATACTCGACCACGCTCTTCACCGAAGAAGCTGTGCGTCTGATTCGCGAACACAATACTGAGAACCCTATGTTCATGTACCTGGCGCATTTGGCACCTCATTCCGGGAACGACGAAGACCCGCTTCAGGCTCCGGATGAAGAGATTGCGAAGTTTGGGTACATCGCGGACCCGGAAAGGAGGATTTATGCTGCTATGGTTTCTATGTTGGATAGGAGCGTGGGGAGCGTGATTGCGGCCCTTCGCGACAAACACATGCTGGAGAATTCGATTATTCTTTTCATGAATGATAATGGGGCCAAACCTGACGGGATACATGCTAATCATGGGTCGAACTATCCTCTGAGAGGGGTAAAAGTTGTCACTGTCTTGTAATCAACTTGTCTAAATTGTTATCTTATTACAGAACAAGAACTCTCCCTGGGAAGGTGCAATGAGAGGAGTCACCGCTATTTGGAGCCCGCTTATCAAGAAACCCCAAAGAGTGTCCAACTCTCTGATGCACATTTCCGACTGGATCCCGACTTTCTTCACAGCTGCCGGACTCAACAAATCCGAATTGCCACCAATGGACGGCATCGACATGTGGGAGTCCATTTCAGAAGGAGCAGAAAGCCCGAGAATCGAACTTCTTCACAACATCGACGACATTGATAGTTACGCTGCGATTCGTAGAGGCCAGTGGAAGTACCTCTATGGCTCCACCACCGGTGGCAAAGGAGACGCTTGGTACGGCTCAAATGGCCGCAACAAAGAGTATACCTACGACGAAAAAGCAGTATTAACCTCCCAAGTCGGCTCCACCCTTGCCGGATTCACCACCTACCAACAAATCCAAGAAAAAACCTCCAAGAAACTCAGCGACAACTCCTTCACGCGAAAACTCCTCGACGACGAGATCATCAGAAGCCTGCGCCACTCCGCCGAAGTCAAATGCCCCAAAGTCAACTTCGACGACCTCAACGAAAACAAGAGGTGCAACCCCTTGGAGTCCCCGTGCTTGTTCAACCTCCACGAGGACCCCTGCGAGCAAATCAATCTCGCCAGCGAGAGACCCATGATTGTGCTGAACATGGAGCGAGCTCTGGACAGATTGAGGAAGACTGCTTTGCCCATCAGAAACATCCCGAGGGACCCCAACGCCGACCCGGCTAAGTGGAATAACACGTGGACGAACTGGCAAGACTACGAAGTTGTGAAGAAGGAGAAGATTACGCACAACACGCTGTCGCCGCTGGCCATCGGGCTGATTTCAGCTGCGTGTCTTGCTTTCGTCGTTGTTATTATTATTTTGGTGACGCTGTCGGTGAAGACTTCTGCGATGAAGAAGAAGGCGAACACCGCGTTCTTTGATGAGTCGCTGGAGCAGTGCACGACGCATATAAACGGGAAGTCGCAGCATTTTGAGGATAGGGAGTTGCAAGTTAGAGACAGTATTAGAAATGCTTTTAGGACGGTGGAGTAAGCGACAGACCGGCTTTTGTAATGAAAGTCTGGTTTTGTTGATGTGATGTAAGCCAGTTTCGGTTGTTTCTTATAGAAATCTCTTCAAACTGCCTCTAGGAGTAAGCTGTTGTACATATTTATTTAATTTAATTGTAATATAGTGATTTTTAATTTAATAAAAATGTTTTTATGAAAGGTTGTTGTTTGAATGTTGTTGTTAAGATAGGCAACCAATAATACGCACCGATCGGTAATCAATTAATCAATCATGCTTGGTGAACTTGAGAGAAAAAAAATCGGTCGAAGGTTATTTCGACAGAACTTCCGTCGCCCTTAAAGCACAGTTCAACACAGCCCGTTTTTTTGAAAAATTATACAACCTACCTTGGTACAACCAAAAATGAGAGGATGTCATCAAATTCTTGATGAGAATGATTAGCCAAAGTTTGGTTAGCGTTTCACCATCTACATGCTATATCTAATATACATACAAAATTTGACAATAACCAGTCCAGTATTTTCGGAAACTAACTGTCTAATAAAACTTGACACAGACGACAGACAGATGGAAACAGGGGATTACTACGAGGACTGTTTCTAAAATTCTGGGAATCGTCCTATCTTTTAAACATGACGTCTTATACAGAGGTCTATGATACACAAGCATACTTTGACAGCCTTTTTCTCGAGGTACTAGGTAACAGCATTTGTTTAAGTCTTGTCATTAGGGTGTTGCTGACATATTTTGAAGTGCTTATTTCATAAGTATGGAAAAAGCAGTGAATTCACAAAGAGCGATCATTTTCTTTTTGTGAAAAGAGGGTGTGAAGCCATCTGAGATAGTTGAACGCCTGCATGAGATATTTGGGAACTCTGCAGAATCAAAAAGTACTGTATATCGTTGGGTCGATAGGTTCAAAGCTGGAAGAACTTCGCTGGAAGATGATCCGCGATGTGGACGCCCGATTACTGCTGTCAGCGATACAAATATCGCTGCTGTGGAGAAATTAGTAATGGATGACAGGCGAATAACTATACGTGAGATAGCTATAACCATAGACATTGGATTGCGACAAGTTCATGAAATTTTACACATTCACTTGGGACTAAGCAAAGTTTCAGCTCGTTGGGTGCCTCGGCTGTTGGGACCGGAACACAAATTGAATAGAGTTATGATTTGCCAGCAACTTAAAGACTTGTTAGAGCAGTACGGTGATAATTTTTGGCGACGAATAATAACAACCGATGAAACGTGGATTCCATACTTCAACCCAGAAACAAAAAATCAGTCTAAACAGTGGCGCAGACCTGAAGAAGAGCCTCCAATTAAAGCTCGTGCAATTCCGTCTGTCGGAAAGGTAATGATAACTGTTTTTTGGGATTGCGATGGTATTGTGGCCGCCTGGAAGTAGGCAACCAGTTATACATACATAATGCAGCCACCGGATTGGCAGTTACAACACGCAAGCCCAAAGAGGAAACGCCACGGTGGAAACGATAACAGACTCTCTTCTTCTCCGACTACTCCCTGTGTGCAGACGTCCTCTTCTTCTCCGACCACTCACCGGGTGCAGACGTCCTCTTCTTCTCCGACCACTCACCGTGTGCAGACGTCCTCTTCTCTTCAAGACCTCCACGTGGACATACACATACAACCTTGGGCCGTGTTATCATTTTTTGTAGTTGGTATTGTAAATAAACCTGTACTAAAACCGTTTCCGTTAGTAATTCGACGACAACAATCACAATTGGTGACCCCGACGTGATCGAAGAACTACGGGTACGAACATGCCGACTGCCGAAGAACTGCAACAGCAACTCGAAAAACAGCAAGAAGCCATCCGGAAGCTAGAGCACACTCCAGCCAGTCACAGACATCGTAGCGAACCCACCAGACAAAGAGAGGTACGACACAATTAAGAAGAAACTGATAGCCGCCTACACCGACTCACAGGAGAAGCAGCTACGAAAGCTGATAAACGAGATGGAGCTAGGGGACCGACAACCATCCCAGTTGTTCCGCGAAATGAAGGCACTCGCGGGGCAGCAGATGAATAGCGAAGTCATAAAAACGCTCTGGCTACAGCGACTTCCACCACATGTCCAACTCGTGCTGTCTGCGAGCGAGGGAGTACCGCTGGAAAAGATGGCAGAAATCGCGGACAAATTGGCGGAAATACACAGAAGCAACGCTATGGCTTCCAGTATCAACGCGATAGGCGCCACCAGCGACACGACGCGGCAGAACACCATCGTACCAACGCAGGAAACTAACCTCATTACGGTAATTGCAGACCTCCAGAAACAGATGGCGGCCTTATCGGTAGCCGTAACTCATCTAACCAACACGAGAGGGCGCAGTCCACAAGCACGGCAAAATGACAGCCGAAATCGGTCAAGGACACACAGCAGGCAACGCACGGATCAAAATGGCGTTTGTTATTACCACGCCAAGTTCGGTGTAAACGCCCGAAAGTGTTTCAAACCCTGCACGTTTGTACAGCCGGAAAACTAGAGGCGCCGTCGGGTATCGAGGCGGTACACGACGACGCGCGCCATCATCGTCTCTTCGTCACGGATCCCAAATCCGGTATCAGGTACCTAGTCGATACCGGAGCAGAGGTCTCAGTCCTGCCGAAAACGTTTTCAGGTAAGGCTCAGTCACAGACACAAGATACACCCGCCCTATTTGCAGCGAACAACACACCCATCCGCACGTTCGGCCAGAAATTCATGGTGGTTGACTTGAAGCTACGCAGAACTTTTAAATGGGTTTTCATCCTCGCGGACGTCGAGAAACCAATAATAGGGGCCGATTTTCTCGAGTACTACCACCTCCTACCGGACCTGAGAAACCGGAAGCTGGTAGACCCCTTGACACATCTCTCTTCCCCTGGTTTCGTATTGGCCTGCTCCGTACCACGTATTACGACGGTGGCAAAAACCTCCAGCTACCACAACCTGCTGGCGGAATACCCGGAATTGACGAAAGCACCACGTCCGGGAAGTCAAATATCCAGCTCCGTAGTGCATCACATATACACAACAGGCCCTCCTGTAGCTGAAACACCACGCAGACTACCACCGGAGAAACTCAAGGCTGCCAAAGCTGAGATCCAGTACATGTTGGAGCAAGGGTGGTGTCGCCCCTCCAGCAGTCCATGGGCCAGCCCACTGCACCTAGTGCAGAAGAAGAATCCTGGGGAATGGCGTCCTTGTGGGGATTATCGGAGGCTGAACGGGGTAACAATCCCAGACAGATACCCCATACCACACATCCAGGACTTCTCGGCCAGACTAGAGGGAAAAACGGTGTTCTCCACGATAGATTTGGTACGTGCTTACCACCAAATTCGAGTGGCCGACGAGGACATCCCAAAAACTGCAGTGTGTACGCCATTCGGTTTATTTGAGTTCACAGTGATGACTTTTGGCCTACGCAATGCCGCACAAACTTTTCAAAGACACCTCAATAATGTGCTCAACGATTTAGACTTTTGTTTCGCATATATAGACGATATTTTAGTTTTTTCCGCGAACCCAGAGGAGCACGTGCGACATTTAAAAACGCTGTTTGAAAGACTGAAGCAACACCAAATCGTGGTTAATGCAGCAAAGTGCGTGTTCGGGGCAAGCGAAGTGGAGTATCTAGGACATAGCATTTCGACTCACGGGACCCGTCCAGCAACCGCGAAAGTGACGGCGATAAGTGATTTTCCTAAGCCGCAAACTGTGAAGGACTTACGAAAGTTTCTCGGCATGATCAACTTTTATCGTCGCTTCGTCAAAAATGCCGCATCTATCCAAGCACCTCTACATGTGTATCTGCGAAATTCAAAAAAAAATGACAAGACGCCAATCAGCTGGACCAACGAGGCGGAAGAAGCGTTCAGCCAGTGCAAGAGCGAGTTGTCCAGTGCTGCGCTGCTAGCACACCCTTCCGAGAACGCCTCATTAAGATTGACCACCGATGCTTCGGATACAGCCATGGGGGCTGTGTTGGAGCAGGAGGTTAAAGGCGACTGGCAACCCCTGGGATTTTTCTCAAAAAAGTTGACCAACACCCAACGAAGGTACAGCACGTACGACCGCGAACTGCTCGCGATATACGAAGCCATCAAATTCTTTCGCTACATGGTAGAAGCGAATGTCTTCACGGTTAGAACGGACCACAAGCCTTTGATTTACGTGTTCAAACAGAACTCAGAGAAAGCTTCCCCGAGGCAGCTACGCCAACTCGACTTCATCAGTCAGTTCACTACGGAGATAGAACACATACCGGGCGAAAACAACATGGTGGCGGACACATTATCCCGAATCAGCGAAGTTCACACGGCAGCAGTGATCGACCCAGACGAACTCGCCTCCGCCCAAGAGCAAGACCTGGAGTTGAGAAACCTGCTGAATTCCAGTACCAGTTTGAAACTCCAGAATCTCACACCCATGAATTCGGATACGGCGATCTGGTGCGACACAGCCACGGGGAGAATTCGCCCCTACATACCCCTCCACTTACGAAAAAGGGTATTTGACATGGTACATTCTAAATCACACCCAGGCGGCAAAGCCACATTCAAGGCGGTACATAAAAGTTTCGTGTGGCCATACATGGAACGCAACATAAAAAAATGGGCGCGCGAATGCCTTCCTTGCCAGCGGTCAAAGGTGAGTAGGCACACTAGAACACCCCTAAAACATTTTGAACTTACAGAATGCCGATTCGAACATGTACACATGGACATCGTTGGGCCATTACCACCATCACAGGGACACCGGTACTGCCTCACGATGACAGACAGGTTCACCCGATGGCCAGAAGTAATTCCCATGACGGACATGACGGCGGAGACGGTGGCGAAAACCTTTTACGCAACCTGGGTTGCGCGGTACGGTTGCCCCCACCGTATTACAACTGACCAAGGCCGGCAGTTCGAGGCCACACTGATGTCTGCCCTCACAGACCTTTTGGGCACTAAACGTTGCCGAACCACGCCATACCGACCACAGTGCAACGGGATGATCGAGAGGTGGCACAGAACGATCAAAGCCGCCATCATGTGCCACGAGACCAGTGACTGGTACGACATCCTACCTACGGTGCTGTTAGGTTTAAGGACAACAATCAAGGACGACCTTCAGTGTTCCCCAGCCGAGCTGACTTACGGCACGCAACTACGAATCCCGGGGGAATTTTT